TACCTATCGAAACGTGATTAACAACGTCATCGTATTCTCTGTCAAAACTCTTACCACAATTTTCATCAAACTATTTTTAATCAAACCAAAAGGACCAATCTTCACGGCCAATGGTCTCAACGTGTTTATCACCCTCTTTTCCCACGATGTCCTTCTTAAATCCCTTCCCACCTTTTCCAAATACACGACCGACCTTTCATACAACTTTGCCGCCTCAGGGACTAAAAGTACCACAAAACCTAGCGCCATCCCAGTCGCAAGTGGTACAACGCAATACAGCAAAAAGTGCATCTCACCCTGCATTCGAATCGTCCCATAAAGCCCCAGAATTATAAAGGCCAGACCAAAAAATAGCAACGGCGGGATGACGAAATAACAAAAATTTCTGTTTACGAATTCAATCCACATGAATAACTCACGATAAAGGCTGATCTCTCGCATCGAAAATTTTCTACTTTTCAAAAAAATTGATTTTTTGGTTGACAATTCTACTCTAAAATTCAATTTGTTTAGAACGCCTAGCACTTCGTTGGCCGAAAAAACCCAGATAAAACCAACAATGAAGCATGAATCTGCCATCTTTGCTAACTCGTTGACGAAAAGTATCATGAAAGTTGCTCGTACCAAAAAAGAAGCGAAACTTGTCATAATTGAAGATGACGGTAACGCCAAATTAACCACGTGGTAGAGAGGATCAACGCGAAAAAATACGATGGCCAGGAAACAGATGCGAAATGGGTGGTTACTCATGAACAGTAAAAATTTCATTGCATAGATGAATATCTTATAGTTGGGGGGATCCAGGGTTCCAGACTTATCGTTAGAACGTATCCTTAGTTCTGTAAGAAAATAATTAAAAATATATTTTTTTTGTCCTAAAAAAACCTTACAAGAACCTGATAGTGTTTTACAAAACCAGCTATCCTTTTTTCATAATCCAAATCTAACGAACGATAGTATTTACATAGTATTATCGAACCAATCGATTTGATTTGGCCGACTTTTTCACATATTTTTCAAAAAACCGGATCCGATAGTTCTCAAGATCCAAAAATTTTATCGGATCGAGGTAGACAATCTAAGAAACTAATCGATTCTTATTAGGTTTCATTGGTCCGACCCAACTCGGCAAATAGCCACAACACGAATTGTTTCTTGCATGCATAATTAATCCCACGAGAGAAAGAGATGGAAGAAACTAGCGTCATCTCGTGAACAATCCGTCTAAATATTTAGTCAACTGTTACGCAAACGATAGAACGTTATCTGACCCCCAGTGGCAGCGGGATCGTGGGAACACAAGAGGAATGTTACCGGGTTATTCGACGTCAGGTCCCCGTCAACTTCTAATACAATGCAATGCTAATGTCCCCACATATCCCCACGGCTTCGGAGACTACTGGTACCCTAATCTTTTGCAAAAATTATGTGCAAACAATGGCAAGTTGTTTGCCAACGTACTTATGATCCCATATAGTAAATATATGAACGAATTTTCTGAATTGTAAATCTTTAAAACATAAACCTCAAAATTACCATATGCAGATTTCCTCAGATCGCTCACAGGATTCACAATGTTTAATATAATTCCAGGCCTTTCAGCAACAACAAACCCGATAGGGGCGAAGGTTAGCGGGAGAAAGGTCAAAAAGGAGAGCAGATAAATTCGAATAATTTCCAAATCCTGCTGTTCAATTTTTCTATTCCGAAATCCTGTCTTCCATACCCACATTAAACGAAGAAAACAGTAAACTGTGTGCAACACAAAAACAATGAATGAAAATTGTACGAATCTATTATCTTCCTTGGACAATGGTTTGTAAGATAATTGTTGCCACTTAACAGACACTTCGTATGGGAGTGGAATTCGGTTTTTAAACTCGTCCACGAACGTCTTTAAAACTCTCCACATTTTAAAACATAATCGTTAAGAGGTTGGAACTTGAAGTCGGTACTAATAACCTTTTCTGTTCTAGCAAATAATTGCACTCACACAGTAACCATAGAAATACAAGAAAGGTTTATAGTACTATGTATGCCAAGAAGTTCAGGTGGTTCGATTAAGAGACCCAAATCGATAAGAAATCACTGTCACGAGTTCTGAAATAGCCGACAAAAGCTCGGTGCACATCGCATTCTGCAGAAATTTCTATGGTTTTATCCTGCAGAGTATAAAGTAAGCGAATAACTGAAATTGTGCTAATGTTCTCCACCAATCAAAATGTTTTTCCTGTGGCAAATAGAGTTAACCTTCAACATACAAACCGTTGAAATTTTTACTCTCGAAACTCAAAAGTCAACAATTTCGATATGTCTGCGACGTATTGAGTTATAAAACTTATTATTATGAAACCCAGGATCTAATTTGGGTAATTTGACCCGAACCACGGGTGATATCCTATCGCGCTCCAAGCAACATTCCTTGCGCTTGGTAACTTGCAAAATTTTGAATACGTTATCGCCCGATTACATACGAGAATTATGCACCACTATCTTGGTGTAAGTTAATCAGTACTGAGAAGTACGCCACCTCGAACACGGCAAAAACTAGACCCAGAAGGTTCACGTATAGAATTTTTAAACTGTATTCAAAAATGTACGTATTGGTATTAGCAAGATTATCGGTAAAAATTTGCTAACAAACCCTTTGCGAAGGGTTTCTTTAATTTCCAAATGACAAACGGACACACTCTCAGGTACGTAAGCCATTCACGAAATTAAGAATTTAAAATTTTGGATAGCCAATAAACAGACGAATGCAATTCCCTTGTGTAATAAAAAAATACATAGATATCTAAATATATATATACATATGTAATGTAGGATAGTGTGCATTGGAAATCCTTCACCCATACCCAATATTGTCATTAATTATGTATGTGTGTATGGAATAAGCAATACTTTATTTATTATCCAAGCCCTGGTAGTTTTAGCTCGCTAGAACTACCAAATACTCAATTCTACACATATTTATTTAAAATAGATCTGGTCATACCGAAATGGCCGACCAGTCTTACATAATCATAGCATTCTTAGAAATTTGCATATGCACGAATTTGGCGTCATTAAACTACGGTTTTCTTTTAACTTTTTCCATCACGGAATGTGTTGATACGTGAACACGTGCTTGCAGAATGATGCCAGAATCAATTTCCAAAATCTGTTCCTAACATTTTACCGTAAACTGTGCTAGGAAAAAGGAAAATTCACCAAGTTATCCAGCCGAACATTGGGTGCAAATGAAGACATTCGGTTTGTACATACTATAATTTATAGTAATTTCATCAGGTAGAATCTTGACTCAATTCAACAATAAAGATATACGCAAATGGATATGAATAAAATTATGTTTTTAGCTTCACAAGCTGAATGCTGTTTAGTTTGTAGATTAAGATAATGTACAAGGAAACTTCTAACTTCCATTGTCATGGTTATCACTTGCAAGGCCTGATGGATGTAACGCAATAAATTATCCATCTATCTTGTCATGGATATCCAATTAATCGGTTAGAAATAGTGGGAAGTTTCACTGCAAAACCTGGGTTACAAGATTCTCTCCTTCGTTCCGTACGCTTTTACTTGCACGTGCTTCCAGTTCTATTCACCGTCCCGAAAAACCTAAGAAAGTGAAACCGAGCAAGAGGCAATTCAGCGTATTCACATCAAGTTTCGGTAAATCATCATTGAGCATGAATTTCTACTACTAAATCTGAACACTGAATACGTAATACTGAATAAGTATGCATGCTAATTGAAAGAATAACATAGGCATTTAAGTATTAAACAAGTATGACATAAATAAATATTTTTTGCATCGTAATATGTACATGTCTTACATTACTACATATGAAACACATAAAAAGGGTCTATTTTAAAATACGTACAAATCATAGTATATGCAGCCTTGAAATTATCACTAAATATTTACAATCTTAATTTCATACTTCATTGGTGTATGGATTTAATAGTCACTTTAATTAAGATGATAAACCTTTATTTACATATGTATATATATCTAAGCAATGTATAATAGATTGTAATAATTAATTAATTAATAAAAGATCTGCGTTAAGAACACGAAAACTTCATAAGCCATAATATTCTGCATTATGCTGGATTAGACTCTAAATATATTTACCTCATGTTCATATTGAAATATGGCGTAAAATTTAATACATGTTCATATAAATTTAAATCCAGCATGTTCTCAGATCCTTGTGGGACATAAACATCTTTACCTGCTTATGTAAACGTCACCTCTACTTTAAAAACTGAATAATGTCCTGAAATTGCGTGAATAATGAGACATTTTTTGCATATAAAATCAAAAAGCAAAAAAAATCAAAAAGTGAGCAAAGGAGAAACGACGCGGAACCCGGAAGTCATGACAACCCGACTATCTCCACAAAATTAGTCACTAAACGGGTGGTGAGGAGGGCGATCTCCCCTGTGTGTTGAGCTGCATATGCAACAACAACTCGATCCCGAGAGGGACGACACATCTCATCCATCTAACAAATGACGCTAAAGAGAAGGCTAATTTATTGACTGAGGAAACACGAAGGTTAATTTATTGATCGACCAGAGAGAGAGAGTGAGGTGAAGCGGGGGAGACGACAACCCGGGTATTATTTGCTCATGTGTCAATCCACATCCTGACAAAATTCGCATCTACATATTCACCTGTTGCGCGGACTTGGTATGCCAGGGTGGCACGAGTTCCGGATTATTAGGGAACAATTGTACATTTAATTTTTCGCAAGGTTTTAAACAATAGGAAAAATTCGTCAGTTATTGTAACTGTTATGGCATTGTGTTTTACACTCTTAATTTTTGTTGAATTTTTGTAATGGCTTAATTGTAAGTAGTAATTAGTACTAGTGTTTCATGGAGTGATTTTAATTTGTGATTGAAATAAAATGTAATTTCGCGAGCTCTGGAGAATACATTATCTTGAATTTTGTTACCTAGCCAGGTAATTTATTAATTAGCCCATAATTTTAATCATTTATCAGCATCGAACCCTGGTCATTTTCTTGTTGGTACTAAACACGTCAGAAGTATCTCCACCTCGCAACGGCGTCCTATCCATCCAGCAACGAGGGCTGTTGTATGCTGGAGAGTGAAATAGTCACATCAACCTTGACAAATCTCACCCACTTCAATCCTCTCCAGCAAATTCTCCCTGCAACTCACCTCAACTTCCTTCCTCAACTTTATATCATCTCTAAAGACAATAGTATCCATGCCGTTCTTCTTAAGATGCCCGATTCTGAGACTTCGTCCGTCTACATTAGCCCTGCTTTGTCCTCAAGGGACACCATTCACGCGAAGGGGGACACCAACATTTCCATCGATTGTGAAAATTCCCCCTCTCCTCACCGCAGCATATTTTTACGTGGCATGTGGGAACAAGTTTGTTGCTCGTTTGCCCTCAACGTGTCTGGAATTCTAATTCTTTGTGCAATCATTAGCCTGGCTTATTACATTGATTCCACCAGAAATAGGGGTGACATTCAAGGTGGGAAAAATGAAACAGTGGTGAAGAATTTTACACTTGTTGATGAACTTGTCCTTCAATAAATTTTCTTCAAAGAAAATAATAACAACTCGGAAAGAAATGCACTACATTTTGTAGTCAAACTGGATTTCCTGGAAGGAGTGGAAAAAAGCTAATAGTTCTAAAAGTTTAGTGTCCAAGCTTTCCTAAAATAAGCTAAAGTTCAGGATCCAAATACTTACATTTAGAGAGAAACAGAGATTTCATTAAATTTTACGCTGTGATTTGTTCATGCATTCTTGCCAGAAGTACACTCAATTTACAAAATGGCATCCTTGATTCCCGGTTCCTCGAAATATTTACCAACTCATCGCCGAGCCCCAACGACCAAACAAAATCTTAAAAATGACGAGATTAAGGTAGACTTCCTGGGAACCTGGATGTACCATCATCCTTTTGCAACCACCTGGTTCTTCGTCATCATACTATCAATTGTCGTAGCGGTACACTACTACATTGCGATTGGTGGCTTCAGACAAGAGTGGGATGAATCCCATGGTAAGAAGAAGAAGAAGACAACGAAGAAGAAGAAAAAGAAGAAAAGGAAGGGAAAATATTACAAATTGAGGAAGGAGATCCCCTACTTCGGCATCATCTTAATGTGCATCACGTGGGCAACACGGCTGTTTTTCTTCCAGCGACCCCCCGATCCATGCCATGGGCCTACTTAAGTAGGAAAACGTAAGTGAGGCTAATGCAACTAGTTGAAGTAATAATTTAGAATTTAATTTATCCCGGCATGGCTATGGGCCGTAGTACTAAGAAATAAAGGACAATTACATAGATTTTATAATACAGATTTTTTGATATGTTTTGCCGTTCACTTACCGTAACTCATCAGCCCACCCAGGAACAACTCGTTGACCATATTCGGCTGACGTTTACGTCCTGATAATTGTTCAAATAGCATTACATCCTAGTAAGGTTTATTTTTCTGTCCCTACAAACATTCGGAAGATTCCCGCTAGCATATCGCCAAAAATTGTAGCAAGACCACGACCCTGCGAAACAGTTAGGTAATGTCTACTGGAATCTGACAATTTAATCTTATTCCAATACAAAGTTCAGATTAGATTATTGAATTATTTTTGAACGGTAGAAAATTCTTTAGGTAGAATTCTCAAGCTTACTAACAGGAGACAAAATCGATGTAACCAATTTTTCTACTTATTATTACGACAGGGCTCAAACTAAGCTATGAGTTACGACAATCCCATACTTACGTAATGCAAATGGCCTATAAAAGTCACGTCACAAAGGTAACACCAAACTATTCCTATAATAGCATTGAATTAATTCGTATATTATTCATTTCATACATTATTTCATTAAATTTGAGAAATACATTTGAATTTGAACTCACAACTTTCAACCGTTTTCTAGATTTCTTCCCAAGACGTCCTACAAATTTCTACCCCAGGTTCATTCATCCTCAAACGACTGGAGTTCCTCAGTAAATATGTTTGTACAAAATCAGGCACTTTTAAATAAGTTCACTCTAATCTTAAGATATTGATCTAATCAGTAAAATAAGTTCCCAAACTGTGCATAAATTTTCAGCTTGGAACAAAACAAAAGTCCAGTACTAAATAAGCTGAAGAATCTATTTATTATACTCAAGAGAACTAACTTTTAACATGCACAATCCTACCATTTGAGCTCGTTTATATCCATCCACTAAATCCACTAATACCACGATTCAAAATCCAACTATAATCCTGACTCGACATGGACAATATTTCAATGTGTTAGCTTAATATTTTTGCACGCATTTAAAGGTAAAGTTCTCCTCTTTGAAAAGTAAATGTTGTGGAAATTTGTAGTAAAGCAAACTATACAAAGTTTACTACCATGCTATTTGGACGTATTAATGCAATATATTTATATTTATTTTTATTCATTTCTTTGAATGGTTGTATTCACGTCAAAAATCATTAAATGCAATTTTCTTCCTTTTTTATATTTTTACGTAAATCGAACCAACTAATTCAAAATGCTTTTTTCTCACATTAATACTTTCCAAATTAAATTTCTGGTTGCCTTTCTATTTCCTTTGTCTTGTATATTTTTATATTTTATCGTGTTTTTTTTATTTTTGTTAATTCTTTTACTATGAAGATGTTGAGGACTTGACAAAACTAAATACAGAAATATGTGTATAACGATTTATATTCTGATCACATTTATAATCCCTTAAATTCCAACGTAAATTATATATAACTATATATTCACCAAAAAGTTATAAATTTGTATGTATATATTTACATAGTCCGACCATAAGTTCCCGTGAATGCATTTCCGGTGATAAAGCCCAAAGTATTAGAGCTATCTGATAGAAATTTTTGTGGATGAACAAGGTATTAATCTTGTTTAGAAATCATAACTTCGTTTTCACAATTTCCTCCACGGGCTTGTACACAAGACATAAGTCGTGGCGAAAACTGCTCGATCGCGGCACTCACGGATTTCCTGGGAAAAGCGCCAGATCTTCAGTAAGTGCGACCTCAGCCCTTCCACACTTGGGTGAAATTTAGAGCATTTTTGTACCTATAATTTTGACCACCAGTCATAATTTAGGGGATTAAGGTCTGCAGATACTGAGCACCGTTCTACGGATGAAAAAAAGTCATGAAAATTCGTCTGAAGCCAGTTTTGGACAATTTTGCACCTTGCGCATGAGCAGAGTCTTGTTGAAAGGTCCAATGGCGATTTTCGGAGGGTCCAGGGTTCAGGTTATTAGCGTTTGTCTCTAGGACACTCTGAAAATAATTCTTGGCTTCAACTTGTACCCTTTGCGGTAAAAAACAGAGATTTCATTTTTCCAGCCAACTTGCTCCCATTCACACCACGGTGATGACTTCGTATTGACTTCCGCATACTTAAACGGATGTCAGACTTCTGTACAACAAATATCTGGCCTTTTTTTCTATTAAATTTTTTGCCAACGGTGAAAAGTCTGAAATACTTTTGGCACGAAAATTGGCGCGTACCACGATCGACCTGTGGCCGTCACGAGTTATGTCTTGTCTAATTGCCCGTGGACGCAATCTTGACAAAGAAGTTATGATTTCTAAACAATATTAATACCTTGTTAATCCATAAAAATTTTGAACAGATGGCTCTAATACTTTGGGATTTATTACCGGAAATGCATTCACGAGAACTTATGACCCCACTATGTAGATGCATATTCCATATATATTTCTTCATGCACATACATAATTAACAATTTATTACCCACCTGGGAAATGTAATGTCAATCTGGTTCTTACAGTTAAAAATATTGTATCATATACATAACATTCGTATAAACGAAACTTACATAAAGTTCCCCGTTAAAAATATTTATCCCACAACTACACCAAAACCTTCACAAATCTCACAAGTAAACACGGACAATTATTTATTTACAACTACATACATAAATCATTAAACTATCTACAAGATGCAAACAAGGTACAAAGCAATCTGGATTAAACACGTAACAAATTAACACAAATTATATTTTGCAAATTTACACATGCATAGTATTCACTTAAACGTGCGCGACACAAAATTCTAAAAGGGTATGACAAACTAACACAAATTATAAAATACGTACTTACTAATGTAATTATTATACTTGGGAATTATTGTTAATTAATTATTAATAGTCATAACTAATCATAATTGTTAATCAAAATATATGCACTTCTGTACTCTAAAAACCCTCTAAAAAATTCTGAACTGAGCCATGTACATACAATTTCGTCCACATTGGATCAAACTTATTTATTAGATTTATTCTAACCGGAGTTGGAATATTCCGTTGCAGGTGAAGGCGCATAGAACTTGTGTAAATATTTATGGTAATACATGCATCTATACATATATAGTTATCAACAATTAACTCTCCATAACCCTTAATTAACTAATTAATTAATAATAATTTTAACTATTAATTAATCCCACACACCTGACTATTGTTTCCTAGGAAATTAGACGTCCTCAATTGTGCGATTTAATTGTATTCAGACTTTTTATTGTAAAATATTGCAAACATAATTAGTAATTAGATTTAATTAATATTATATTTAAACCTAATATAACTGTCTTAGCTATACAACTACGTTTATTTATAAACTTTTCCTGTTACATATGTAAATTGATTTTTCGTTAATTAATTCTAATGAATATATCAATTAAGTATAGTGTAAATATTTAAATTTATGCAAAATATCCTCTCAACCGAGACAATCAATCAGAATTCCGCCTGGACGACGATGGAACCGAAATACTTGGAACTGCATTAATTATTCAGATTAGTACATACTTAAGCTGACTGCCAGGAATACCTGTATGTTGGATAATTATTGAGATATGTAAATAAGTACGTATTTAAATAATTAATACGTAAACTGACTGCTCGGAACTCTATTACCTGTTAACCCACCTGTAATCTTGAGTACCTAGAAAACCAAAACAATACAAATCGCACCTGTTAACACTTATAAAAAAAATTATACCTACTGAAACGCTTACCTGATATGGAAAAGGTTAGTGAAACGGTCATTTGGACATACATATATATACATGTATATGTAGTGAAATACACATTTTTTCTCATTTTTGCAACCCCGTTTTAACCCACAAGTTAGAATACGTACATTTAAAAATATATATATATATATATCAAGTTTATTTGTATAACGTTTATTTGCAACATAACAAGATAAGTTTGGATTTTTCATATTAGTAATCTAATTACGAGATTTTTTCTACCCATTTTTCACCACAATTTGGAATATTTTATAAATTATGCACATATATGCACTCTAAATAATTTTTTGATGATATTGTTACCGGCGGAGGTACTATGCAACTCTACCGCTCCGGTAATAACTTATCACCGAAGGGTAACATATATACAGAGGCTAAATCCTGCTCCGTCCCCAATGTCAACGCTCAGGTAATAAAAATATTACCGATACCGGAGGCAATTTCTTACCCACAGAAGACAATTTGTTACTATAGTGTTACCACACGGTAGAATTGCATAGTATCTCCGCCGGTAACAATATTGTCAAAAAATTATTGAGAGTGTATGTCCAATATAATTTACATAACTTTACCAAATAAGTGCTTTTTACAAAATTATTCAAGTATGAAATTTTGTGCACCCTTCTTTCTTCACCAGTTGGAATATTTTCCAAAATTTGGTCAAATTTAATCCTACATGAATTGTTTACTCTTATTTTTTTCAGGAAGTATTTATGAATTGCTTAGAATGTGCGACTAATTTTATGTAATTTTATGCGAACATATAGCTAGTTTTTCTTCATTATCAATTCGTCAAGAAATGTGATTTATTTAATGACCCCGGAATGTACATTCAAGTCAAAAATTAGTTAAGGATTTCATAAAAACTAAAATTTCAAGGTGTGAATTTAAAATTCTACTAACATTTAAACTCTTAAATATTTAATAAAATAAATCCAATTTTACTCTTAATCTAATTGTTAGTTGAAGAAGTACAAACTCCTCTTTTAGACAATAACTTATAAAAAGTACTTCATTTCGTGACTAAGTAATTTTATGTTACTAAGCTTAATTTTTGTAAATACTTATTGCACTAGAGTAAAATCCAAATATGTAGATACAAACCGATACACTCAAAACAATTAGCATGACATTGTCATATAGACTAAAATTGGCCATTTACCGTCTTAATTATCTTATACATAAAATTAATCCTAAAAAATCCCATGACCAACTTATGTATCTGTTTTTGACATCTGTAACGCATGACAATTATAGAAATCCTAATTTGTAGATGGTTAAATTTTCTGGTCGATTTTGTAAAATAAAATTGTGTTAGAAAAAGACAAGTGAAAGTTGTCCAATATCCATTTTGCATTCAATACATTTATACTAATCTGTTTTTTATAAATATGTATATCTCTTTTTAGCTTGGGAGAATTTATTTTAAAAAAGTGCACAGATTTCGAATGACATCAAATTCTTAGCGAAATTTGTCGCGCAAAATGCACACAAAAGGTGCATATGTAGATCCAAATCTTGTCAAGATGTTGATAGACTCAGAGGCAAAGAATACCCGGGTTCTTCTCTCCCCCATTTCCTCCTCTTTCCCTCTCATGGATCAATAAATTAAGCTTCCTGTCAATAAATTACCATCTTTATAATGACATTTGTGGGATGTTCACTCTTAAAAATCATGTCAGTCTTTCAAAGGGCAACTTTAATTTCAGTTTTTTATTAAGCAAACTAAACAAAATCCTTAGTACATTTTCCTCCTTATCGAGTCCACATTACTCTGGATTTTGTATAGTTTACATCTAACACAATTCAGACTGAATTAACCTATTAAATGGGTGACATTATTTTTAAGAGTGTGCATACGTCGTCCCTCTCGGGATCGAGTTGTTGTTGCACCTACATATTCAGCTCCTCAACCCACAGGGGAGATCACCCTCCTCACCACCACCCGTTTAGCGACTAATTTGATGGAGAAAGTCGGAGAAAGTAGGGTTGTCATGACTTCACCCTCATTCTCTCCCTCTCTGCTCAATCTGTTTCATAATGCTAAACATATACATACATATGTATGCATTCATGCGTTTAATGTGTGCGTCGCATATAATCAAATTTCATGTAAACATTGAAACCTGTTCCAGGTCATAAAATCGGAGGTAAAAATGCTACCTAAGAAAATCTAAATTTGCTTGGTAAACCTTTAACGCAGTCATGCAAGGTAGAGATATTCGTTAAGGTTTCTTTCATGCAAAATAAATACATATCGTCATATGTATACAAATACAAAAATAAGGATAGAAATTTAAACACACGTGATTCTAATTCTATTTTGAGGAGAATTTAACCCCCTTTCTTCGACATATTCTCAGCCACAATTTCACAACTTTGTTTTGCATTGTGTTAAAACTCCTTACACACTTCTTACCTTGCATAATTGAAGCATGCAAAAATATCCGAGTGATAATTTATGTATGTAATTTTCACTGAACAGCTTCAACATAAAAATATTACCCACAAATTAAACATCTCACCGTCCCCGACCGTATTCTACTTTGAGTCGTTTTGGGACGGTGCAAAAGTCATGTGATCGATTTGAGTAGCTGTTAATGCATCTTATCGTCCGCATATTAATTATTTATAACATGCGGCTCATAAATAAGTCAAATAAATAAGTGTGGGTCAAAATTATCCTAAAATGCATCACATGCCTGATGCACGATCGCTTTCCAGTTTTACAGGTCAAAATCATTATGTTTCCCAGGTACATATCTCAACATCACTTCAGGTAGATGAATAATACGTTACCACCAAAAAATCTACCCAAAACTTTGCACTTATGCAGCATAACACAATCGGTCAAAAATCCAGTCGACCTTGATTCAACGTGAAGATAAACACGGACGATCCCTGCGTAAAGGATGGATTCAATTATTTCTGTCAGCCTATGACAGAATTTAACCCAGCACAAATCCCGTCAACAATTTATGCACGGCCCCCAACATGATTATTTATTGACTGCATGGATGTCTTCATTTATTTATTTAAACTAACCCGTTTTCAACATTTTAGTTGAAACTTGGGAACCGAGAAGTGATCATGATACTGAAATTTTTGTTTCTTCTGCCTCTCATAATTTTGGTGATATCTACCCAAATTTTGACCCCGTTGATCTATCGGTATTACGAATATTGGGATTACTACTTCGGACCTCCACCACCCGATGAAGTGTTCGACTTCATCGTGGGTATGTAAGATATACTCGTTAAAATGTATTATTACCGGCGGCGGTTATGCTAATAAGAACATTTTTATGCGCTTATCTTGGTGACTTTGTGCAACCGTATTGGGTGTTTATTCTTAGGATTAGGTACACCACGTGGTAATACATCCTATGACTATTTCGTAGATTATATGTAGTAATTGCAGTTTTATCTTGCAATAATTTTTGCGAAATTGCATACATGTGTAACACGGACCCTGCGATAACCGTGTGCTTAAAATTTGTACATTTAATATTTTATACTTACAAGTTTACAGACAGTTTTGACATAAATGCAACCTATGATACTTTAACGTGTAAATTGTGAACTTTTAGTAAAAATAAGTTCAAAAATATGGACTTGAAGAAATAGTTAATTCGGATTATGCAGAAATTAATTTTGACAAAAATACTAAATGAATTAGCAATTTTGTAGATCCATAGTTTTCTAGTTCAACGTAAAAGTATGTATGAGAATGTGCATTTATCTCAAGACTCATGAATTTATTTTAGAAATTTACATGTATCTGGGGACATTGAATAGAGGGGTAACGTGAGATTAAAAATCCGTGCCTCGTCAAGTATTCATCTTTGTAATCTTATTTAATCGCAGTGAATATGCCTTCGAAAAATGGTAACATACGTATCGTTGTAACTTTAATTAAAAAATCTGCCAATACAGATGCATCAATTCTTCTATGAACCAGAGTTGTACTAATTTGACTGTATTTTCTAGTGGGTGCCGGCTCAGCGGGGAGCGTGGTGGCGAACCGACTTTCTAAAAACAATAAAATTTTACTCCTCGAAGCGGGCGGAGATCCAAGTCCGTTCACTTCCATTCCTCTCCTCACTCCGGAGAATTTCATCCTTCCAGAAAATAGCTGGAACTATAAAACCGTCCCTCAGAAACTTTCCAATCAAGCGATGAAAGACAAGGTAAATAAAATTTGGAGAATTTTGACCACAAATCCCACATTAAATTTCTACACTTACATAACTACAGTTTGGTCATTTGAATTAGAGACTCTTTTTGCATTTTGCAATTTTTTCCAGGATAGCAACTAATTAAAATTAAAATTCGCGAAGAGCCATTCGTAGGTTAATGCAATGATTTATTTGATGACAAATGTATTTTTTGACTGGCATATAATTTGTGAATAGCTCTTTTTAGGTTTTTTAAAAATTTTTCTTAGTTACCAGAAAATTTTAAAATTTACCAAAAGAGTCTCTAATTCAAATGACCAAACTGTATTAACGTACATATTTAAACTTGACCTGTCTCTCCTCGACATGGCAAAGACAAATTTTGTGATTCTTTTTAAAATTCTTACTTTGATTTATTTATACATACATAGTATATTTTCATAAAAAACCAAACCCAATTTTTAGAAAAATCTGTTATGTATATATTAACCTCGTGTGTACATATGTAGGAATCTGCAGAATGCTGCATACATTAGTGGTTTTCTCGATCGTTCAAAAACCTGAACCTGCGAAAACGCTTCTTCATAATTATGCATTCTTCATGGTTTACGCACATATCGCTCTCCTAGAGAATAATACATACATATATATAATTTATGCATAATTGCCAATTTTCCCCAGGAAAGGCGTCGAAATTTTCATACGGTAGTTTTAAAAATATGTCATTCTTTCTTAATATGCATGACTGCATAATTTTACTTTGCAGAAATCTTTCTGGCCACGTGGACGAGCGCTTGGGGGGACGAGTAACCTAAACTACATGCTGTACATTCGCGGCAGTCCGTTCGACTACGACAATTGGGCCAACCTGACTAACGACTCGGGCTGGAACTACAATAATTTGCTGCCGTACTTTAAAAAATCGTTGGACTATAATGGAGCTTACAAAGAGAATGGTGAGGCAAAAAGAAGGCCTTGATAAATTACGAATTCTCAATAACTTATTTCACATTCGAGTAAAAATTTAAGCACTTTTCCTGCACAAATTTTCATGAATTTTTTGCACAAAACTTTATGCAGAGTTATTTATGCAAAATTTTGCAAAATTGTAAAGATCATCCACTATCGAGTTGGACTGCCCCGTAAAGGCGCGCTAGGCGGGAACACAGCGAAATTATTTTTCGAGATAATTGTTTTTGAGTAGACCAACTTATAAGCTTTCCATTGATATATGTCACCAATTATCCAGTCATGGCTAAAACTCGAAAAACTTGGGTTGAAAGGCAAGAGTTTGGAAAAAGAGTGATTAAGTTTCATAAAAATAGAGCAAACAGTGATTCCAAAACTACGTGGCAATTTTTCAAACAAGAAGGTATTCCTAAATCCAGCGTCTACTATCACCTAAAAAAGTACGGGGAATCCAGTGACGTCAAATTCAAAGTCCCTACTGGTCGACCTGTAAAGCTAGCGACGACAAGAGTCAAAAATCGGATAAAAAAAATCATCCATCAACGACAACGGCTGCAGCGGCAAATAAGGTCAAAATTTCAAAAAGCTATCTGAGCAAAATCAAAGTCCATAAACTAGGGATTAAAGCCAGGACAAAAAAACCGGCACCAAATTACAAAGCAACACAAAAGGAAAGGATTCAAGCGTGCTGCAAGAAGTTGTTGAAGAAGATTCGGGGAAAAGTGGTCATCATGGACGATGAGACCTACGCCACCGTCGACCCTTCAAATCTTCCCGGAAGGCATTTTTACCATTCCTCGGACCCCTCTGACGTAAAATATGAAGACAAAATCCGGAAGAAAGACAAATTCCCAAAAAAATATCTAATTTGGCAATGCATCTCCAGCGCCGGCCATGTTTCCGATCCCGTCATTTTGGAGGGTACTGTAAACCAGGAGGTTTATCTTAAGTCATGCATTCAGGGGGGATTGGAATCGTTTATTAACAAATATCATAAAAACGACAAAGTTTTGTTTTGGCCTGACCTCGCAACTTCTCATTACGCCAAAAAGGTCACGGACTACCTAAATTGGAAAAATATTGAATTTGTGCCAAAAAATGAAAACCCACCAAATGTTCCTCAACTGCGACCAATTGAGAAGTTCTGGGCGCTGACTAAATCCAAATATTCTAAACTTTCAGAAACCCCAGACACCTTTAGAAAATTTAAGAACAGATGGAAGAAAATCAGCTTGGAAGTAGGTGCAGTCTATGGGCGAAATTTAATGCGAAATCGGAAGAAGAAAATACAATCTGTAGCAGATGGCGGAATTGAATCATTAAAATTTTAACTGTATGGCAATCCAGACACTTTGGTAATAAACATATGCAGTTTTTTTGAAATTACATTAACTGTGTAAAAAGTTCTGAGCATTTTATTTCGTCAGTCCAGCTCGATAGTGGATCCTCTTTATGTATAAACATAACACTCTAAAATATTTTATTACCACGCTGGAAACATATATGACTCTACCGTGCTGGTAGATACTACTATTACTGCACAGTAACAACCCAATGTTGGCATGAAACTAAATACAGCCTTGCCGCGGTGGTGGAGAATTGTGACTCCCAACTTAACCAGGCTGGTAGTGTTTGCTACAACTTGGTGGAAGAAATGGTAGTAAAGCGTGACCATACTACCGGTAATACCTAATGTTACCCCACAGGCGGTAATACGAGGTATTAAGAATTTATTACCGGATTTTTTAGAGTGTATAGTTCATGTTCAGTGTGTGTAAAAGTTCGGCAGAAAAAAAAACTATTATTATCTGGAGAATTGAGAATTATTTAAAAAAAAGATTATGAAAAATATAATATGCATCGTGTTTTTATAAATAACAGCACAATTCGACACACTTTTTTTCTGTTCGGGCATGTTCCAGTTTCGAATAAGACCTTTCTCTCAACCGTGAACATTACACGTGAAGTGGTCCACAATGACTTAAATGTTTCTGTTTTGTTTACAGAAAAACACTACGGCCAAACGCCCTACGGGTATTTGCACGTCGAGCGGAAACGGTATGAGTCCCCACTCGCAAAATATTTTATGGATGCCGTCCATGAACTCGGTTACAAAGAAGTTGACACGAATGGAGGGCAGCAAGTTGGTAAAACTGCTCAATAATAATGCATCTAAACATTTGGTAAAAAACGACTTTGTTAAAAATTGGCAGGGTTCGGTGATGCCGAAGTCACGCAAAAACATGGAAGTAGGCACAGCACGTGGAAAGCTTTTCTGGAAAATTTCCAGCACCGCAAAAACTTGGTTATTTCTCGATACTCGATTGCAACAAAGGTAATCTTATTTGTTACATTTTCCCCGGTACAAATTGAATTCTACACAATTTGTGTCCCACTAGATTAAACTGGACTCTAACAATCGGGCCGAGGGCGTTTTTTATATGCGACATGGAAAGAAACGTTTTGCCAGAGCGAGTAAAGAGGTCATAATTTGCGAGGGTTCTGTCGACTCGCCAAAACTGCTTATGCTTTCTGGAATAGGGCCAAAGGCACACTTAAATTCTGTAAAGGTACTTTATCACAATTTGCACCGTATTGATGATAGCGTATCCTTGCCACGCGGTAGAGTCACAAACGTATTACCACCGGATGGTGATAGTCCAGTCGTACAAATTCTGAGATTGGAAAAATATTTAAATGTCTTACAATCGCTAACTGTAACCTCTGAATTTAAGAAATAACTCAAATTTAGCAATAATCTTGCTAGATAAAACCTAAAGTTGACCTCCCAGTCGGGCAGAATTTAAAGGATCACATCACCACGAGTCTCTTCCCATTTCTTATCAACGATACAATATCGACAGTTCCAACTAGAGATTTCGGCCTTCGCACTATTCTCGATTACGTTGTCAACGGGTATGGTAAGCTTGTTTCACACATTTACATATTTAGGTATACGTGTTTAAACAGATATTTACATAAATCATATCATAAATAAAATATTCATGAAGTAGAATAAGTACTTATAAAAACATTCATAAAAATAATGTTATCGGTCAAAAAGTAAAGGCACTCTGCATTTTACGTGAAATCCAGTGTAAATTTTGATCTTATCAAGTTAACGTCTCCTTGGATATACATTCTATCGTTTACTTAATATATAATTCAGACTCTAGTTACTTTTTATTACAGTATTTTTAAGAATGTAACAACTTGTGATAACTAATTAGGCCCACTCACCTCACCTGGAGGCATTCTCGCCCAAGGGTTTATTTCAAGTAGCCAAATCCCCAACAAAAGCTGGCCGGATCTTCAAGTCTACTTTATGGGATTTGGATTCTACCCAGAATTTATGTCTGATTACTCAAAAACCACGTTGTACAATGAAACATTGACTTCTCGCTATATGGAATCCCTCGATGGAAAAGAACTGGACGCATTTGGTCTGATCATCACCCTCGTCCGACCAAAAAGTGTGGGTCAAATTCAACTGAAGGACAAAAATTGGGAAACCCCACCCTTAATTGACCCGAAGTATTTGGAAAACCCACAAGACGTTAAAGCCCTCGTGGAAGGTGACAAAATCAAATTTTTTTGACGTAACCAGATCCTCGCAAAATAATTTGTTTGCTTTTCAAGGGTTAAAATTTACCCTGAAGGTCTCCGAGGAAACGGAATCATTTAAAAGACTTGACGCGAAATTTGTCGACTTGCCAAACTTTCCGGGATGTGAGTCATTCCCTGCTAGAAGCGATTCGTATTTTGCGTGCTACATCCGACATACTGCATTCACATTGTATCACCCGGTTAGTCAAATAAAATTATTATTATGTTTATTGTTTCTTCCTTCAGTTACATAATTTTTGTGAAAGGTGGGTACTTGCCGAATGGGACCGCGGGACGATTCAAAATCAGTCGTTGACTCGAAGTTAAGGTATGGATACATATTTATATGTATACAAACAGGCATGCCGATGATGTGAGTTTGGAGCTATTACTTGCATGCTAATATAATACTTTCCACGATAATCTTTCATTGCAAAATTTGTCCTTGTTTTACAACGTATCATTGGTCAATGCATAAATTATTCTCTGTATTAAATACTTATCTATTATAATAATTTGTCTAATTTCGTAGGGTGTTGAAGACTCAAAATCTTCGAGTGATAGATTTATCAATCGCGCCTGAAATTGTGAATGGCAACACGAACGCACCTGCCATCATGATTGGTGAGAAAGGAGCCGATTTAGTACGGGAATACTGGTCACAACAATATCTTATTTCTTATCGTGATGACGCATTCCTTCGTAATGGGTATCTGCAGTGTTATTATTCTAAACATGTGTAAGGTGTAACGCAATATTTGCCAAAATAAATATTAATCATATTATATTTTTCAAAAACTGTACAGCGGTTTTGCAAATGTCCATCAGAAGCACTTGGTGAAATTTGTTGCTAAAAATGGGTATTTAGTTTTATCAAAAACCTCAATTTTCTAGTATGATGCATAAATACACCATCAAATAGTTCAACATATAGTAAAACTAATCATTACAATATTCTTTTACATTTACATAAGAATTTGTCGCTTGCCTTATTCATATCTGTAATTGACATAGGTATGTACTTCACTTAATGTGGAAAGTACTCAAATTAACATTTGCTTGAGTGACGCTCATGCAAATATGCAAATATTTGACGTGAATACGCCCAATTCCATAATGCTCAAATACACTTTTACTTTCCTCATTGAACATAAATGCCAATAAATCAAAGCGTGTGTGGAGGACGTGTAAGTACTTCTTACCCGGGTTTTCTGGTCAAATCGTTCGACACTACCGATAACCATGGTCACCCGGAGCATAAGGTGAACTTTCTTAATCTAACCTATTTATCTATGTACCTCATGTGCTCCACTTCTCAATCTGCCAACACTATCCATTACACGCTATTATCTGTTTCTAAGCAAATTAACAAAAATGGTCTCATACAGTTGTTCAAAGTTATTAAGTTTTGGAAAATTGGGTGTCTTCATTTTCATGGTAAGAGCATAACTGACCACTGGCCAACTACGTGTTGACTAACATGACAAATTTCATTTTTAGCTGCAACACCTAAAATTCGGGGGATGGGCTTGGATTTTCTTTTTCGCTATTATCTTTGCCGATTTCTCGGCTCATGCTTCCGCCAGCGCGGTGTTAATCAACTCATACACGTGGGACTATGTAATAAATAGCAAAAAATTAAAATAATTGCCGTAATTATGCTTTATATATCTTTTTATTTCACTGGTTTTATAGGAATTGAGGAAAAGGATGGATAAAGTTTGGGTCGGAATTCAAATTATTCTCTTTTTGGATGAAGTCATTTTGTGGTGGATCATGTACACTCTGGAGTCAAAAGTCCCATTTGAAGTTTATGAGGCCATTACCATGGTGATCTTGGTTGCTGTCTCAGTTTACGAGGTGTGTGATTTGATCACTTCTGTTAGAGCTATCCAGGCAGAACTGGAGGGGGCTTAAACTATGTCAAGTATGCCAAAGGGTTTATCCATGACAATTGTATGAAACTTATATCATGGAACACCGACAATAACTATGGCAACTGTACAACATTAATGAAACTAATCAACACGTACTTCACTGCCATAAATTAAATATATGACAGCCAATACTTATTTCACGCTGTGAGTTTCAATGTATAATACTCATTTAGATTATAAAATATATGTATTACAAATATAATGTCTAAACTTCTGAAATTGACGATTAAACCCTACCAACTGGCAAACAATGTTTTAAAATCAAGGTTAAAAAGGATATGATTTTCGTCTGTACGCCCCCAGGTATAATATCCTCCATCATTTTTTACCCTGCAAACTATTCATCAACAATTATTTTTGACATCTGTAGCAACAATTAAATTTTCAATTATAATTAATAAGAAATTGAATGAAGTTTACTTAATTAATTATCCATAAAATGCAATTCAATTAATGTAATTAATTTGCTTACCATAGAGATAATTGTTAATGAAATATCATAAATAGTTCGTTTTTCTTATTTCAATTATACTATCCAGTTATTTATTAATGAATAAATCAATGAATCAATATATTTCATGAGTTACATCAAAATGTAATGTGATAAATTTTCAATTACAACCAAATAATGCACAAGTTTAGGCACATTTTGTGTTTACAATAGCCGGCCCAGCTTCATCATACTCGGCCCTCGAGATCCACATGTTTTTGAAAGTCTCCAACGAACCAAGAATTGATCCTCCAATCCAGGCAGAATATTTACGCTCCTCTGGAGCCTTTATCCTGACTTTCATAGATTTCGGTGCCAATTCCACGATCTCGTTCTTGAGACGGTCAGCAAATCCGGGCAACATTGACGTACCTCCAGACAATATAATATGCTGGTACAACTCCTATACAAAAATGGCAAAGTTTAGTTATAAACGTAAACGCCATTCATCATAAAATACCCAACTACTAAACTACCTTTCGGATATCAGGGTCGCACTTTAGCACCGAGTTATAAACCATTTCTTGAATTCCACCAACTGACAGTCCCAACAAACCAGGCTTGAAAAGCGATTCAGATGTGCGGAATCTTTCCTCCCCAATGGTTATGAGTTCACCATCTGGAAGTTCGTACGGCTTCTCAAGCGAGCTTGTCGACATTCTGGTTTCCTGATCAAAATCAACCGCAATATAACATAAACGTTCTTTAAGATCTCGAGCGATTTCTCTTTTCCCGATTGAGCTAAAGTACGAGTATCCATTCTCAGTGAGCATCCTCGCTAAGTAATCCGTCAAATCGCGGCCCGCAAAGTCGGATCGATGCATTGCATGGGTAACTGCATACCCATCGTATACAGGGACTGCTTGTGTGACTCCGTCACCACAATCTAGTACAATACCATTCGTTCGGCCAGCCGCGTAGACAGAAAGCACTCCTTGATTCGATAAGTAAATTGCTCTGTATAAAAATGAAGTCAAAGACGAATCCATTAGAGATTGTTTCATATAGCAGAACCAAAATTTTGTTTTATATTGGCTGTAAACATAAACTTTAAATTTTAAAAGTTTCAGCGTTTCAACTTATGCAAATCAGCAAATGCGTAGATTGATATACTAGCAAGCTTGCAAAAACCTATTCAACTGTCGATTACCCCTACATATATTTACTTACGGTAAATTAAATGTCTCAAACATTATTTGTGTCAACTTCTCACGATTGATCTTGGGATTCTTAGCAGCCTCGGTAAGGAGGACGGGATGCTCATCGGAAGCCACGCGGAGCTCATTTTCAAACGTGTAACTCCATATTGTCTCCATATCATCCTATCCAAAAATATGTAACATTCCTCAATGCACAATTTTCATCAAGCAAAATGTCCTAAATGTCAAAGTGTCCATCACAAAGAATTCGCACTTACCCAATTTGTCACAACTCCATGCTCAATTGGATACTTTAAAGTCAACATTCCCCTCTTCGCTTGAGCTTCATCCCCCACGTATTCTGTGCAAGTTAGAAAAGAATTTAGCTTTAATAATTAAGATCCAAGCAGAACCTCAATTCTTTCTCTCTGGATGATTATCTACATAGACTTTATTAAAATCATCTTTCACTTTCATGGCAATTTATGTAGCTAGTTCTCTTAAAAATAATTGTATTCTTTTCAAAACTAAATCCACTCTAGCAAGTAAGGAAGATCACGCAGATTCCTGGGTAATCGTTACTCCTCGTTAAGTTTAAAGTTGACATGTTTTAATCACTTTATAACTCATACTGTATCTTTATGCAAAAGAGTGGCCTTATTTCTGCGAGTGTCAATATTACAAAAAGAACTCCCTTAAGGATTTAACAGACTTGAAAGAAAATACATAACTGCAAACTTTTGCCTAGTGACTTCCAAACACTATGACCAAATAATCCAAATAATCAGTCAAACCTGCCGCACTGGATCCCTAAAAACATCGGAGAACCCAAATGATTAATATTTCTTCAAGTTACATAGACAATTCCTGATCTCCCATGAACACCCACCTGATGACGTGGTCGGCCAACAATAGTTGGAAATACGGCTCGTGGAGCGTCGTCTCCAGCAAATCCAGCCTTACACATTCCAGACCCATTGTCAATGACGACCGCGTCAACGTCAGTGTCACCCATTAAACCTGATTTGAAACTTGTTTAAATATTTTAAAGCCGAAAAATTCAAACAAATCAACTTATTAAAAATTATTGGTCTTGCTTCACTTCCAGCAAATAAATTGTGCCAAATCGCAACCACAGTTCAGTTAAAATTGAGCAAGACACAGGCTTTATCTTTATTTGCATTACGGTTTATCAGTATTTATTCATGCAAATTATGAAAGTTTAAACCAACCATTTATCATAATCATGACAGTAAATGCGTCTCTGGAAATTCTCTTATCTACGTTGTAATTGATGGTATATGGGACCACAGTTATGTGATCCTGTAGCATTACACTCTTAAAAATAATGATGTGACTTTGTAGCCACTACACATTTAAAAATTATGTTACCCTCTAGATAAATAACTGTGCTCCTAATTCCATGTTGGGTGAACCATAGTTTACTCTGGTTTGGGATATATGTATCATATACCAAATCCGGAGTATTGTAAACTTGATAAAGTGCAAAGCCTACTCCGAATCATACCTATATATATATATGTAATATGCAATTAAGACTCCAATTATTCTATATATTAGGGTTACACTATTTTTAAGAGTGAGACGCGTTTGAAGGAAAGCAGCAATTTTTATTACAAGGTAAATATATTTACCCATGTGCATAGATATGTATATTTTCTGCATTAAGCATGATTAAGGTAAACTACATGGACTAGATAAGCGTATCAAAAAATCAATTTCACTATCTTTTTCAAGGGAAATTTTGTGTTATAATTCTGAAGGGATTAAGCAACTCTAACACTTAGATTTTTGTCACACCTTTAAAGTCCATCGAAGGTCGGGCTCATCCGTCCCTAAGGAAAAAATTGGTAACCAGAAAGACTTACTATGCAGCTCCAAGTGAAAGGTTGCTTCATGCTTTTTGTAAGCTACGTAGATTGTTCTGGGTAAGCTCACAATGCTTATCCGCAATTTAGTTCAGATAATATCGATAATATGCATTTACGTAAATGTCTACGTGGTCATATGTACCATACATACAGATAACGGAGACTAACCTATTTATTACAGGTATTAAGATTCTCAGGGTGCATACTTATGTACATGCCAATCCTCCAACATGTATTATTACCAATTTACGCCAATGAATAATTTTAATTCTCACGAACTTAACATGGAGAAATATGTAAATATATGACAGCATTAAAAAAATATAAACCTGACCTGATTTGTGGGTGGAAACAGTACTGATTGGAGTCTACCAACAGCTTTGAACGGAAGAGGGGTAGTTTTACAAAATTTTTAACGGATACATATATAATTATCTATTTAGGTACATACTTATAATTATCACAAATTGTACACAATTAGCTAGAATTTACTTTTCATCGGGTATAATTATTATTAAGTATGCAAAAAAATAATGCTTGTCAATTACGGAACGCATTCACTGGAAATCGGCACGATTTATTATCCGATTTACTCAAAACTAGAAAAGTTTGCACAGTATTTCAGAATGATTCTGAAATATTAAATCTTATTTATTGGTATTTCTTTCTATCAAATTTATTTTTCAAAATTTTAACACGTGCTACTGAACTAATTTTCGTTTTCGTATTTCTCTCACTGCATATTTTCGTGTAAGCGAGGTAACCAATAAATGTCCCGGACTTACAAATGTCAATAGAATCATGAAGCAGAAGGTATAAATTGCCTACAAACATATATATTTTTTAATTAAGCATCATTTCTGTAAAATTTGGAAACTCATCAATAAAAATAATCTTACCCGAACGTAAGACTCTTCAGATTTGAATAACCACAAATATTGCGGGTACTGAAGAAGACCAACGATGGAAATTATGGTGTAGGAAATTTCCATCAGTCGGTTGAAATGCTCCGGATAGAAACTTAATATAAATACAAAACATTGAAGTAAGTAAATTTGTAAGTATTCATATAACAGATCAAAAAATATTTGAAAATTCAAAATTCGCCCAGTAAATGTTTTAAAATTGGAAAAAATACTCATTCCATATTCATTGATTCATAAATAATTTGAAAATCAATATTCATTGTTCATTTTCTTTTCATTTCATCTTAAGTTTCCCTTCTTGCAACGATTTCTTAATACATTTATTAAGTACTTGCTACAAAATGTTGAATAAAATTATTCACTCATTCTTCATTAATGAATATGAAGAATAAACTAAATATTTATTCAATAGGTACGTTTAAAAATTTTGAACAAATTATTAAGCAATTATCCAATCATTATTTTTGGTGAACGAATGAATAATATATTCATTGAATAAGACAACGTAAACAGTTAGGCTTAAGTTCATTTTTTACAAACTGGTTACCATAATTGGACGTACGAGTACAAACTCGCGATCGAAATCGGTCTCACAATTGAGATCAGAACGATTGAATCGTACACTGCGTTTGGCGAGTAGGATATTTTGCAAATATAAACCGCTAAGGTCAATGCACTCGCTAATGTCAGGACAAAAACGGATGAGCGAAATTTTGCCGCCAACCTTTCGATAGGGTCCTCCTCTGAAAATAGAATTATGTGCCCAAAAATAATTTCGTAAGGAACTGACAAATAAATTTGAATATTTTACTCTTTAAGGCTTACCCTCACGCTAGGAGGAGAAGTTGGAGTTGGGGCAGTCTTCCCAGTTTCATCCTTCTCTTCATCCTTCTCGCTTGGACGAGTGCGGGCCACCCGAAGATTACTCCAGTCACCGGAGTCCGGTGACAGTAAGCGATTCAAAAAATCCGATCCCGATGAAAACTATTCTCTTCCAGAGGTGCATTTTGGTGGATTCAAGATGATTCTTCAGTACAATTTTACATATTTTTGTATAACTTTAAGTAAACATGGTTACACATGCCAAATTTTTGTTTTGGGTGTCTTTGCAAAATGTATTAAAATTGCAGACAATGTTTGCGAGCGAGATCACGTACACGATTCCAGTCACAAATCATGATTAATAATCATAACTGATAGTCATGCCCCATTCATTTCGGTCTACGTATTGAATTATGTAATCTCCTGGTAAATTAATCAGATTAAGTAAATATGACAATGATACATATGTAAACCCAGTTCGTGCTCCAGTTGTCATTTAAAAAAATTACCATCTATACTCAGGGACTGTGCAAAAAGGATGTGATCGATTTGAGAGGGATAAGGATCAAGGCATCTTATCCTTCCCACGTTAATTATATCATGGGACGTACAGCCCCAAACACGGGGAGGGGTAGTGCCAAAATTTCCCGAAAATTGATCACATGCTTTATGTATGTACGGCCCCCACAGCAGGGATTGAAACCCATACTATTTGTCGACGCTGTTAGTTATACAGATAAGCATTCTTTAAATAACGTGTGAAATATTCGAATCACATTTTGTATAAAATTGAAGTGTCCTGCCCAATTTTTAAAACATTGTGCATCATTTGGGAAACAAAATATGCTGATAATCGGGCAATATTAATTAGACAAACTAACATTTTTTTTCTATCTGATCGCATTATCTTGTATACATATTTATTTCCAAGCTGATATTTAGTAACTATATATTTTAAAATGGTAATTCTTCGAATAAATGTATATGGCTCGTATTTTACAAATTTACTGCCCCCACCTCGCGATTCGAGAGGAATAACATAAAAACATAGAGAATTTTGCAGTAAAATGAAATGGGGTAGCAGAAAGACGAATAGAATGCATGTAGATGCTTCGCTTTCGATCGTGCGTAAGTCAATGTCATCAATTTGCTGAGGTAGAGGTAAGCCCTATCCTATTATTCAGTAAGTTATAACATTGGTCACACGTATTTACTTACGAGTGATTACAAGAATTCGAAAATGGAGCACATCCTTAACCCATGATCCATTCATTTGTACATATATGTTGCTGAATCACAAGTGATATAATATTCTAGTGAAGACTAAAGGATTTGCCCTTGCAGCAGAACAATAGGTTGGTAGGATAACGGTCTCGGATACACTTTATCGATGAACGTTTTTTTCGTTTGCGTTTCCCCTTTATTTTTCTATTCTTAGTCACCTGATCATGCAAGAAATTATAAGATTTTTCAAGAAACTATATTAGCCTTACGCACGCTTTACAAATAAAATCATATTCATACTTATACCCCTCAATTATTACAGCTACAAATGCAAAACCTAACAGTCCCCCACATACAATAAAAACTGTCCTGATTCGCCCATCAATCGCAATTTTTGAAACTATTTGACCCGTATCGTTTGCCACCCGTCTGTGCGACAAGGTTCTCAGAAATTCTTCTCTTAATCTTAAATAAATCCCTGATGCAACAAATGCTTGAAAATTTCTGTGCACAACAGATACACCACTGGACGTAGTACTTCCTGCCACTTGTTGAAATAACCAGCCATTTCTCGCCGGTATCCAGCTAGTACTCCCAACGTGAAATTTCTTGGATGGATAGCTTCGACTTAAGAAATCCCTCTCAGCCCAAACCATCTCAGTGGGCGCCATATAAGCACTTTTTTCTTTGCAATTTATAATATCCTTCTCGACTAAGGCTTGTAATTCAGGTTCAGAATAGTTGTGTCTTTTAGGGTTGTACCCTTTCGGGAGCACGCTGTGAACGGGGTCTGTGAGAAGCAATTCTAGTACGTCTCCTCTGGTTAAATTTTCAAAGGTCATATTGTTTGGGATGTCGTAATGAATTAGCTGCTTGTAGGTGTTTGCGTACGCAGTATACCCTTGATACGATCCAATACCGTCTGAACCACGAAAAGAGGCGGAAAATATGCTGTAACACCTATTAGAGGCATACTAATTTTTGAACGGCGGCGTTAGACAAAAGAATTCACTTAAACACGTATCTAAATTGCCCCAATATGCAATATATCTATCGAATGGCACCTTTTTAAGAAAATTGGAAATGCTGTCTTCGACATAGTTATCAACTATGTGCCGATTTTCACATATAAGATCTTCAGCCACTTCTGGTCGTACTGATTCAAGTGGTGCGTTAAGTTCTGTCACGATGAGGCCACTATAACAGTTTATGACCAAAACAGCAACCGGTCCCCATACACTGAATATGATACGGTAAAATAACTGATTTTCAATTACGCGCGGAATACAGGTAAAATCGTCAAATAGCAAGGAAATAAACGAAAATGACACTGAAAACAAGACTCGTCCATGCTTAATGTACGTGTAGGCAATGAAGATAATGCAAGTAATTACCAAACTAATTCCCAACCCGAGCCATAGGTTCATTTTGAACGGAGCAATGTAGAAGTCAAAACTTAGATACTCTTCTGAATAGCAAGTTAGAAATTTATCTCCAATTATATTAGCTAATTCTCGATCAACACCAGTACCAAACCCGTAATGAATTTCCACAAAGATATGTGGGCCAGAATAATTTATAGATATTGTCGAATTGGTTCCTGTCGTTACTACAGCAACCGCCATATAGAAATCTATAGGATGGGGGGAATCAAGATCGAATGGATTCATGTCAGGTCTTGGTATTTGTTTCACAGTCTTAAATTTGACTTCACTCGACCAAAAAGTGGCATCCCATGTTTTCGGCGGACCTCTGAGCTTCCCATAATCTAGCAGTGTACTTTGATCGTCTAAAGTTTTACAGGTATAATCCTCGACACTGGACACCTTCACAATTCCTCTTACGTAGATCTGAACGTCTTCATGAGATACATGGACAATGAAAAAGTGTCCGCAATCGTTGACCAAATGAAACCTCGGCAATAAGTTCAGTATCTCAAATCTTGTTGGAACGATGTTATACACGTTTATGAGCGAATGAATAAAATTCCAGCGATGTCTCTCAATTTTATTGTGATCGCAAAGCGTGCAAAGAAATCCGTACTGATGGGCAGACACAAGTTTCCAATTTTCAATGTGTACATGTTGCTCGTCTTGTATTGGTATAAGTGACTTTGCAATCCAGATGCTTATTTTCGTCGGACCAGGGCGACCTTTCATAACATCGAAGACAAATGTGAGGGAAATATTTGTAGAGTTGAAACTTCCGAAGGACTATGAATGACTAATAAATTGACTGTTGTCATAGGAGTAAAGTGACCCTGAATGAAGGAAAAGAATCCTGATGGAATTCCGTCGTGTATCACCTGAACGTCTGAAGTTTCAGCAAGTTCCAGAAAATTTGATGGTAAGAGGACATCATACTTTAAACGGATATCTTGACACCAAACAATGTATTGGCTAATAAAGGATATGAAAATTAAAACGACTGTCATTTTGGACAATTTTTACAGCAATCAGTATAATTCATATACTTAAAATTTATGTAGTGATTTTTTATTCGATCTATGTAAATTTCAGAATGCGATGCAGATTAGTTAAAGTCCCGTCTTGGAAGGACATGCACTCATAGCTTGCTGAGTTTTATCTAGATCGTCCTATAGGTCATAATTTGTGGAATACGTATTGAATTCCCTATAAGGAATAACATATACATATTGCTGAATAATAAATGTATTTATCGCCAAATGGATATGACAAAGATCTCGTTTATAAAATCCCATAGTTATCCTTTTATTCATTCACTCTGAAGCATTTTGATAAAATTTTGTCAAAAAATGCTAACATATTGTGACAATGAAAAAATTTTAATCCATTTTTTCTAAAATTTTGTAAAAAGAAGTATTAGCATTTGTAGCTCGTAGTGATAAAAGGACAAAATCTTCACTTTGATCTGATCAAGCTGAAATTTGGTAGGGGAGAGGAAAATGACTTTGGGTGATGGAAAATGAAGTGAAATCGGAGAATTCTCCAATTAAAGCGACCCTGTAGGATCACCTACACTGATTTTTCGACATCGTTCGATCTAGATAGTTGAAGCTTTGAACCGGGATGGTCAATGACTTAGAATGAAATGCGATGAAGAAAATCTTAATCAGGAATGACCCTGTTGGCTCGCCCACGCCGATTTTTTAAAGTCTTTTAAAGATCCGGGTTAAAAATTGATATACTGTTTGTTAATGGCTTTGAACGGAAAAAATACGAAGTGAAATTGAAAAATATATTATCTCGAGCAACCAAACAATCCACACTGTAATTCACACTGATTTTTCAAAATTCAACTGAAATTTGAAACGGGATTGGGTAATGACCTCGGATGGTATAGTTTGAAGTGAAGCTACCCTGCTGGCTCATCCATACTGATTTTTCGGAATCATCCGATCGCGCTCAAATTTTGCAAAGGGGTTGCAATTGAGCTATAATAAACCACCACCTTCTGGAGTGCACACCTCGTTGAGATCAAAGAATGATTATGAAATTGTATATGGTAGATAATAACTGTGTAGGCGGGTCAGCGAAGCCGTCGCCATTACATAGAACATATCTTGGTTTAGTCAATAATTAACTACACCGTCTTATCGAGGCCGGTCCTTGGACAGGCTTATGAACTAGTCAATAAATATTAGATTTCTGTGAAAATACTTAGAATCCAACCCAACCTCCAACTAATGGTATTTGCCTAATTAAAATTTTATTCGTGCATTACTTTAGCCAACAAACTCACAAACTCGCGAAAACTTCACCGATTTAGCTCCTTGCGTGATACACGCTTTTATCAGACACTTCTAAGCCAAATGAAGACGTCTCTGATCGTTGCGTGTTTGCCAAGTCATCCACGATAGTCTTCTGCGAAGTCAGAATTTTAATTATTGACGATATGCATGATCTTTAATTAGCCACGAAGCGAGATAGAAAGGCATAAATTGTATGCCATACTTTATTTCAGCTACGAGCGGCACCCAAAGCCACCGCTTCCCCCCCCCTTGGGGCTACCCCCCTTCCAAGGTGCACACCTCACACTCTTTGAGTGGACCCGTCAGGTGGACGATTTGCTGCATCAAAACCAAGATTGTACTTAACTTGTCATGTCGCACAGGTTTGTTATTTTTGACACAAAACCATTGCTTTTCCAACGAGTCTTGTGTGACGAGGTCAAGAGTAATGTTATTGTCAAGGTATTCGATGTGTGCGTGTCTCTCGATTACTGTGGTAAAACTTTCGATCGACTAGAAATTTTGAACATATGTATCCAGAAAATATGCATGAGAGATCGAGTTTGAGGATGAGGTCACATTTTGAACCTTACAAGCTCTTTCATAGCAACAAAGAAACGATCGAATTATTTATAACCCTTCCTCGGGCTACATACATATATAAGGCTGCAATGCAGGTTTTAACCGTGTTATTGTGCAATGCATATGATGTGGTATTACATTGTACAAACAAACAAATACAACCTGTCGGTCAATGCTACATACGTCTCGCCACTCTGACACAGTCACAACTAATACAATAATGTTATAACATTCCAATGGTCAGATTCGACAAAAACCAACAAAAATTCCAAGAGCAGAAATGATCCCTCAAGATGAAGGTTACAGAAAGAATTGAAATAATTGTTTTCATGGTGACTAAATATATTTAAAATGTATTTAAAATACATTTTAAAATGTATGTAAAGTTTTTTTTAAAACCAAAATGGCTGAGCATCTTTAACTGAGGACTATTTAATCCTGAATGGTCCTTGTCTGAACCAAAATGAAGACTTGCCTCATTTTATAGCCGGTTAAAGGAAGAATGTCATGTAAAAACGGGGGCCACCTCACGTAAGCAAATCAGGTTCAGTGTACTTAAAGTACTTGTACTGGTCTACATGTGTATGTATAATGTGGGTACATGTGTTTGTATATCTGTCTAACTATCTTGTCAGTGTGCAACTATTTATTTACAAACAATAATGCATACTTCAATGACGTCAAACGACTAGACAAACTGCACTTACTAAATACTCTGCACAATAGAAATTTAAATGTAGCCAGGCATGTGTTCAAATACATATTTAAATATATGAACCGGTATTAGTTTGACGTCATTGACCGCAGAAGCGCAGCTCAAACAAGGTGATTTTATCTCCGAATAATTAAATTCACGAAACTTTAATCTTTCACGTGTTAATACATATAAATCCATTCTCTGCTTCCTAAATACATATGCCGTAATGCCCACTCTTAGGCATCTGGTATTAAATCATTACCGGACCAATTTCATTTTATTGAGTGTACAATTAAATAAGTTATAAGTTAAAGTTTACGTTAAAAAAATATCAATGTGTACACATGTAAAAAAAATTAACAGTATCATAAAAAAAATATGTAAATATGTAAATATGTCATTCAGTTTCTTTGAGATCTTCTACATCTTTTCCACATGGCTCCTTCCATTTTCCCTATAAGTGGGACACAAATTTACATAATTGGCAATTGCCTCATAAATTATAATTTTTTTTTAATTTTAAAAAAATATTTATTTATATATTTACCTACCTTTGAGACAAGCAGCTCAAACTTTTCCGTTGTAAAACTCACATCCCACTTCATCGTGTCAGCTTTAACCTGCATTTCGTAAAAACATTTGCCCACTTTCGGAGAAAAGTTTCCCAGCACGGCCATCGATTTATGAAGATTGTTTCCTTTTCCGTAAATAAATTTGCGACAAACCTTAAAAAAGGGACAAATTTCGATAATTAAAATTTTAAATCTATTTTTTTAACTGTATAAACAGATTTTTCATAATAGGTTTTTTAAAATTTTATTTCTCTCCATTCTCCCAATAATTGCGCCATAACATTTTCCCTGTACACATTTTCTGATAAATTTCCCAATATAAATTTCCGAGTACCTTCCCAATTTATTTCCCAACCAAACACAGTATGGTTTAAATGTCAGGTTACAATAGAAATTTATTCAATAGGAAAAATTCGTAAATTTCCATTAGTTACGGAATTGGGATTGAGATTCTTATTAATTTTTATCAGAACTTATCGAACACTGATGACAAAATTCTTAAAATATTGAATTTCAGAGGCAAAATTTCAGTAACTAATGAAGATTTTCGAATTTTCCTCATTGAATAATTTTCCATTGTAACCTGACATTTAACCCACCCTGTATACTACTTAAAATTCTATTTAAAACATACCAAAATGGGTTCATAATGTGATCCAATTCCCCCTATAAGTGCTCCCCTCGGCACGGTGCCCTTGTTCCCGTCAAACTCGATCCAGTCGTATAGCACGTCCTCCATTTTAAGAAGAATCTCATAATTTTCTGTGAAAGCCCTCACTCCCGTTCCGCCGTTGGCTAATGTTGGATTTCCGGAAATGTAGCACGTCTCGTTAAACAACTCGCCAGGAATTATACTCACTTGACCCAACTTGGCCCGACAGATGTGCGTCGGCTGCAAATTTCGCGACTTATTCTCCACCCAACCACCTTCAAAACGATCGTGGATATCCGTACCATGCCCCCACAAACCCTTGACGAGCTGAGAGTTTAAAAAAGTGTCGGGATTGATGAGAATCGCCAGTGAGAGATGACCACTTAGGACGAAATTTACGAGAAAAATTGACTGAAAAAGTGTCGATTTGATCGTGTAAAAAAATATTTTCTTAGGAAATTTACTATTTTTTAAAATTTAGCACAAAGTAGATCTCCCTGTGTGATGCTGAATGAAAACATGCATCGTTTTATGTAGCTGAATTTCATGCAAACAATGCCAGAACGGTCACGTAAGCGATTTTGTGCAAACTGGTGAAGTATTTAGAACTCGTATGCAGATGTGACAGGCTATGTATGCAAATTTGTGCAAAGATATGGCTCCTATCTTTTCAATGTTTACAGCTACAAAGCGTACCAAGTGCAATCAAGTTGAATGGAACTTAACAGCACGTAGATACACTCCGTAAGAAACAGATACTCATAAATTTATTAGCATATGCATCGTGCAAGTGTCAAGTTTTGTTTATTTATTCAAATGTCTTAAGAATTACTAATTCACAATAATACAGCCATTATCTTCCACAAACGACACAATTATTTATGTACATAGGTACGACTTAAGTAATAAATAATAGAAACTATTCAATTCATACATATATAATGTTGATAAATTTAAAATATAACAGATAAGGTATCGAATGCTGAAATAATAGGACGCTTAAGCTCAATACGTAGCCAAACGATGGAAGACGGCGGATCAGATAACATTCCGTGTCAATAATAATATATCAACATCATGCTCGCTTATCCCACATACATATTCATACAATTAAATATCTCCTTTAAAGTATAATAAATACAATGGGAATATTTCTCACAACATCAAGGTTTGTTACAATTCAATTTTACATTATTCGCTGCATGTACAAAAATTCAGTAATCCTGGCCGCATACAAATGCTGTGTACTATGTACATGCATAAATACTTTGAGTGCTGGCCGACTCGACTGGACTGACCAGCCACAGAGTACACCGGGTGTACTCTGATAGGATAGGTAGGATAGGATAGGTCGCATAGGTGCGCAGCTTCCGACTTCCGGAAGTCGGAAGCAGCTTCTGGACGTCGGAAGCGGCGATTTTTAGTCGGAAGCGGAGGCGCTGGAAGTCGGAAGCACAAACTTTGGTCGGAAGCGGAAGCACTGGAAGCTGGAAGCGAAAATTTTGGTCGGAAGCTGAAGTACTGGAAGCTGGAAGCACGAAATTTTGGTCGGAAGCGGACGCCGGAGGCTCTCGGAAGCAATGTTGTAGGGGCTATCGGAAGCAGCTTCCGGACGTCGGAAGCGCGATTTTTGGTCGGAAGCGGAAGCACTGGAAGCTGGAAGCGAAAATTTTGGTCGGAAGCGGAAGCACTGGAAGCTGGAAGCACGCAACTTTGTTCGGAAGCGGACGCCGGAGGCGGAAGCTGTTGGAAGCTGCGCACCTATGGTACACCCCACTTTCTCATAAAAGTTAACAATGTATGCAATTAAGTATTTACTTATATATTGAACTAGATTAAAACTGCACATTGTTTTGGAAATATATCTATGTATATGTACAGGGTGGTATAATTGTCACTCCACAATTTAAAATTTTTCAAATTGGAAAAGTCTCTAAATCTCCATTAGCTACAAGATTTGGGATTGAGATTTTTATAATTATTACCAAAATTGATGACAAAATTATTAAAATGTTGAATTTTAGAAGCAAAATTTCGGTAACTAATGAAAATTTACGAATTTTTCCCATCTAAAAATTTTCCATTGTAGCCTGACATTTTAACCACCCTGTACACAAGTTCGTATCCAGGTTTACATTCTGGCTGGTTTTGTAATTATCTGGTCAGGTTTACACTCGTCCTTGGGCACGTGGTCACATTCAGAAAGAAACCTTAAAAGTTAGAATTAGAGTTATCGGGCGACATGGTTGTTTTTATGTAGATATATTTATTCCTAGCTTTCGATACACACTAGTATCATCTTCAGGGACAAAATTGGAAATCGAGAAAACAAGAATTGATTTCACTCACAATACTAATCAAACATTATTTTGTTATTCAAAAAACGGTATAGTTGTCAGGGGCGCTTGATCAAGGGTAACATTAGTGAAGACCAGATTGGATTCAGGTTCATGCCGTGGTCTTGATTCATGGCGTCAGAGGTTTTACGTATGTACAGACTTTCAAGAAATTTTCTGTGAAAATTTCGACGCTCGGGTAGAATTAGACTTGCTGAGTCTTGGCTGATATTGTGGTTGGGATTCTCCATGATGTGAAGTGCCACCGCTGATTCTTTTCTGGTTTTCTGATGTTCTTTTACGCGTTGGTTAAGCGGGCGGCTCGTCTCACCTATATATATGGAGGGACAAGAGCATTTAATTTTATATATTCCTACTTTATCGGGTGGTGGATTCTCCTTGTATGAGCAAATGATTTGTTTCATCTTCTTTCCAGTTAAGTATCCAAATTGGCAATTTAGTTTGTTTCGTAGGTATGCAGTTATCCGGTGTGTCAGTGATCTCATGTATGGTAAGATTATTCTTGGTGATTTTTCTTCCGCGTCTTGATTTACGTGGTTAATAGGTTGGGTTGAAAATTTGGTCCTCATTTTTTCTATCCTTTCCTTGATTAAGCTTTTAAGCTTTGATAAACCTTAAAAGCTTAACTTGGTTGTACATTTTACATATTACTCTCTGGCTTGGTACTTTATTCTTTTATTCTCCCAATTATTTTATTTGCTTTGTCAAAAAATTCTAATACAAATAATCAGTAAAATAACGCACACCGTTAACCATAATTAAAGACTTAAGAACTTGTTCTAACTATTGAAAAGAGTGAAACGTGTAATTATTTATTAAGCAGGAATATTTTTACAATGCCACCTAAGAAATTTGTAATTTTCTGTTTCGTCGTAATTTTAATTACCATTTCACTCATTGCGGGTTCAACTTTTGAAAAGGATGTCACCCTCACGTTGGATCAGAAGTTTCTCTTGGACAAGGTAAATTTTTATATGGAGTAACTAAAAACAATTGAGAACGACTACAGGAATCACACCTCATTAAATTTCCAGTTCCGTGCTAAAGTAGTTGACAAAATGCCGCAGGATTACATGAAATCAGAAATGTATCTCGTCAAGTGGTTGCGAAGTAAGAAATTTGTCCAAACATTATATATCAGAATTAAACAAGTAATTCCCCTAGCATCCCACCCATTGCGGTGATACTCTTAAAAATAATGTAACACTTCTAACAAGTTCACTCACTCTGAATTCAATATCAGGTAAACTGTACTATATGAAATCCAGATTAACGCTAACTTCATAAAGAATAAAACTTACAATGCGATGGTGTGAAGTGAAACCCTCCTATTTGGTTGAAATTTTGAAATTGTGTGGTCCATGTCAATACAACCAACGTTTCTTGAGGCAGTTTGTGTGATGGTCAGAATTTGTAAAACTATTTCAGGTCAAAGTCGGACAAATGGGCGATTTTTACCAAGCGGAGGAAGCAAACTCAACTTCAGATCTCTTCTCGTGTTAAAAATTGAACATTTTTCAACGTTAAAATAAATAAATACTTTACCAAATTCCTACCATCGCACAAACTGCCTCAAGAAACGTTGGTTGTATTGACATGGACCACGTAATTTCAAAATTTCAACCAAATCGGAAGATTACACTTCAAACCATCGCATTGTTAGTCTGGATTTAGTCCAGTTTGCCTAATATTGAATTGAAAATGTATTAAATTAATTTAGGATTGAAATTTCATTAACTTTGCGTACAAAAGGACAACATTATTTTTAAGAGTGTGCACCCTTGAATATTTGATCAATTTTTGTGATAATTTTTCAGCCAGCAATTTCCACATAGTTGCGGCGGAAGAGAGACTATTTCAGGTGGGTGGGTAAAAAGTGACTTAATCAAGCCAAAAATAAATTTTATGCACGACTTTTTACCAATTTTCAGCACTTGGAGTGGAGAAAAGAGCGTGGAATTGATGATTTAGACCTGAAATCGGAATTTTTAGATGACGACATACGGTTTTACCTAGATGGGAGGGATAAACTCGGGCGACCTTGTAAGTTTCAAGAATAATCGCTGTTTCCACTTTAAAAATTGTATGTATGTACCCTCTTAGAAATCATGTAAACCCTTAAATTATAAGAGCACTTTGAACCATAGGTAATTAAAGTGAACTATACTAAATACAGGGTGGTTTAAATGTCAGGTTACAATGAAAACTTTTTCAATGGGGAAAATCCGCAAATCCCCATTAGTTATTGAAATTTTGCCTTTGAAATTTAATATTTTAAGAATTTTGTCATCAGTGTTCCATAAGTTTTGATAAAAATTAAGAAAAATCTCAATCCCAAATCCGTAACTAAAGGAGATTTACAAATTTTTCCCAATTGAAAAATTTGTCATTGCAACGTCACATTTAAACCACCCTTTACACACAGAGTAAGATTAACTCAATAAAGGGTAAAGTTTATTCCAGATTTTGTATAATTTACTTAATTTAGAGCCCATTTACTGTTCGAAAGGGTAACATTATTTTTAAGGTATACCTAAAACTGACGGAATATCGTAGTCATGTTGATAGAAACGAGAAACCACGATGCCAGGAGATTAATCATACAAGGCAAATATGACCAATTGGTCCGCTTCTATGAACACGCGTTCGAATCAGGGTGCAAGTTGGGACTGGATTTTACGGAAAGGTATAAAAATGTCACGCGTGGACATCTCCTCGTAAATCTGCATGGACTCATTATTCAGCAAAATTCCTGTGTCGCATGTAAGTTGCAATTTTCAAAATTAGCAAGTGGCTCCTTAAATAAATAAATAAATATTTTCAATCTCCAGGCGTCACAATGTTCGTGCAAAATATAATCAATTTCGTCCAAAATTATCCCGAATGTGTCGACAAAATCATCGTTGCTAACGGTAAGAGACTTATCATTATTTGGAAAGTCAAAGTTGTAAATAAAAAACTACTTAACCATGGCCAAAAACGATGACTAACTTTAGGAGAAGTACTCCATATTCAAATTAACTTGGGCTCGATATTTGCCATATTTATATACAGGGTGGTTTAAATGTCAGGTTACAATGGAAAGTTTGTCAGTGGGAAAAATTCGTAACTTTCTATTAGTTACGAATTTGAAATTGAGATTTGTATTCATTTTTATCAAAACTTATGGATCACAAAATTTTTAAAATATTGAATTTCAGAGGCAAAATTTCGATAACTAATGAAGATTTGCTAATTTTTCCAATTGAAAAATGTTCCATTGTTACCTGACATGTAAACCACCCTCTACATAGTTTTGAAGAAATTGGATTAAAATTCAAAATCATAATGTCATATGTTACAAAAAAATGATACAAATTTTTTGGAATATTATGCACAAAATGATCATTGCCCAGATAACATAACTTTGCCAATTCTCTACGGATTCTGTATCAATGAATTGGATTCAAACTTGGCAGATTTCCTTGAGAAGTTGCAGATCTGTGTTATCTGGGTGAACCCTCAATTTTTTATCGAACCCTTAATTGTTTTTCTACAATAATATTTGTCCTTCTTCCGCTTTAATTTAGCTCCTCTCTCATTCAACGTGTTCGGCAACATTGGCAAGGCTGCATTCTCTGAAGAAATCCGGCGGAACATTCAAGTCTACGGGAAGAACACGCAACTTTTGAGGAAGTCTTTAAGTACGGATTTTGAACTTGATCAAATACCACCTTCTCTCGGAGGGAGTAAAATTTATGCAGGAATGGAAGACGAAAATGTGGATAATAAATAAATATATAGGCAGATTTCTTATAATGCAAAAATTAATTACATATTAACAGATTATAAAATTCTTGTATCTCGAACATTATTCTGTACCTAGATAAAATAGTTTCAAGTTTTTGCAGAGCAATTATCCAGAAACATTATTATACCATCATTCGTCATCATTTGGTCATTCCATCACCATTCCAGAGCAGGTACAGGCTGAGCCAACTGTGCAAACCCTTTTCGCGTCGATTTCACCGAATTTGATAAGAAAAATTGCAAATTGGGGTGCAAGGATGAATGTAGTATGGCTATTTTTAAATTACATGCACCCACCCCCTTTTCATAAATTTGAGAAGGAAATTTGAAAAAATGAGAAACTCAATGCACACTGGGTAAAACAAAAATTAGACTACAGGTTGCATTTGCCATTCTAATTTCCCCACGTCTACGAACATTTTGATGCATAAAAAGTTTCAAAATTTGAAAATTGGCGGTTTTTCTTCATACACAGAAATCATTAAAAAACTCATTGTTCCCACACTTTTACTTCTGACAACCTGATGCCAGATTTTTCTACCTGAGAAGAGCTATATTTTCACCTTTTGTTGTCCGAAGTAAAAGTGTGGGAACACTGAGTTTTTTGGGGTCAAAGTTTCTGAGGGAGTGGTCTATACGGCAAGTGCCGTAACAAACTTATGGCCGCTTATGACAAAAATGATATATTGATAATTATAATTACCGAAGTTATTAAAATCGGCCCAAATTAAAACTATCGCTCCTTTGAATTTATACTGATGATATCCAATCAAGACCACCATACGGCACTGTGAAGTCACAGTACGCAGTGGTGGTGGATACCCACCAGAATCTGAGTTTCTCACTTTCTCTCGATGAATATGGAAACAGGGTTTGTTGCACAGTTGGTCTGATTTTCATCAGCAGCAATAATTAAACCGAAATTTTTAAAGACAAAAAATTAATCTTGTTAACATTTGCACAGTTCGTAGGGGTGATTCTTGTGAGTACAACGGTATCAATACTTTCTTTCAACTCCTCCCCTTGCCCCAGGGGGAGTGGTCGAAAGTCGCAAAACCTGTAAACGGGGAAACGGATTTCTTCATGATGGATAAAGATATCGAAATGCTACTTTCGCCAAAAGATTCCTAATTTTTTTCTCTACAACCCGAATCGAGCGTTTTTTGAAATTCGAAAAACAAAATTTTCAAAAAATAACAAAAATTTTGGATGAAAATTGCATGTCCCCATAAATGGGGTATCGTTGGAAAGGTCTGGGCAATTGGATTCAGCATATATATAGTGGGGTCTGGGACCACCCCCTGCATGTCTAGAGGGCAAAGCACGAAAATCTGCCGCTATCTAAAATTTTGTAAGGGTTTAATATGCTAATATTTAATATAACATAAAATATTTATTACTAAAAGCAGAACAGCTAGTATTGATTTTTTATTTCTTTAATGACTCTTGGCCGATTTGTTGCAAAAATATGTTAAGTTCTGAAGGCGAAAAAAAATTCACAAACAAAGTAAGTCCCAGCTAGAACTAGTAGCCCTGCCCAAATCATAAACACGGTTTGAATACTTCCCCCCAATTTAATCGCACTAATTCCAAAACTAATGTGGTTTTGCTCAAGTAATCTCTGTCTAATAATTTTCGTCTTGTTTCACTGCTTCTGAAATTCATTTTTAGCCCAGAATTCATTCAATATTTTATAAATTTCAGATTCTAAGAGTGCCACAAAACTTTTAACCACTGGAGAATCTCGTGTGGTTTCAAACTCCCTACCGAATACATCCCCAGGGATGGAGGTTTGCTTGGTAAGTTGATTAAATTTTATCCAGTGATAATTTTTCTTATAGTATTTTAATTGGGTCATCAGTTCCGTTCTATCGGCATATAGGATTGATTTCCCACATGTCACGATTTCTTCTTCGATGGCTGAGTAAATGTCAGTATCCGGAAGCTGGTGACTTTGATTATCTGAAAAAAGTGAATTAATAATCCTAATTAAATTAAGACCGTTTATAAGTGATCATTTTTCTATACTAAATATAATAAATACTTTTAACCCTACTACTTAGATATCACCTGATAAAAATACAGCCAAAATTGGCCAACCAGACCCCCCGATTACGGTGTCATTGTTTCGCTACGAAGCGTCGCTGACTTACAAAGTGTAGGAATAACTAATAATACTAATTTCCTAAACATATATGTACATAATTAACGATTCCTTACCAACATATTTTTTAAATTCAATAGGATAGAATCTGATTTTGGTATCCATCATATTGTACAAAATTTCATTAACCCATCTCGCGTTGTAATTCCCCGTAATTGCAAAAGATCTGAAGATATTATTCAAGGCATAAAAATGTGCGAAGTATGCAACCGGGATATCTCTCTGAGTTGGTGCTGAAAGCAAACTGAAACAATACGGTTGGTATTTAGGAGGTTTTAAGGTTCCAAGCTGCTTAAGGTGGTGAATGTGTAATAAATGATTCCGTGATCTCAACAGTGTTCTGCCCGGAGATTTCTCTTCATCACGTGGAATCCGTTTTGCACAGAAAATTGTAGCGAAATCATTTGGAATCATTTTACCTAGTGGAGAATTCAAGCTTGTAATTGCTAGTCCGATATAACAGTTAACTAAGATAGTGGAGCAGATTGCCCACACCCCGTTATTTATTCGAAATGAATTAGATTTCGACAAGGTTTCCGGAATTGTTGAGTATTGAACAAAGATTGTTCCGACGTAGTAGAAGTAGGGATTGAATTTTGATTCTCCGCCATTCTCCTTGCATACAAATCGGTGAGTGCGGCAACCGTAACAAACCCTAACAGAATACCGGTCCAAACCAGACCTTGAAACGGAGCCGAGTAGAACGAAAAGCTCACTTTTTCTTCAGAAAAGCAGGTAAGAAAGTTATATCTAGCAAATCCTGTTAAAATAATTGTAGGATCGGTCAACTGTGTTCCGAGATGATGCCTTCTCTGAAACCTGGAAGTACATATATTTTTTTCCCGTTAATTGTCACTTTGTTTCCGTTTGTATATTGGATTTACATACCTTATATGTGGAGTTGGACAATAAGTAAAGTTACTTTTCATATCGCAGTCGCCCCCATCTTTAAACATTATCCGGTGTAACTTCGGCGTTACATTGTACAGCGAAGCGTTAATTGTTCGAGTTATTGTATAAACTATGCAATCAATTATTTCAACTGTGTCAAACGGTTTGCTATTTTTCGATCCGAATTTGAGCAGCATTTCTTTTTCTGAATATTGAAGATCATCTTTTCGATAGTAATACCACTCCATAGAAATGGCAATATTTTGTAGAGTGGAGCCAAAATTTGATGCTGAATGAATTGTCTGTGTACAGAGATACGACTTACTAGATACAAACCAGCAAATTTCTTTTGTAGATCCTATTAAGCTAAACACTACCACCATTTCAGGTAAATTCCTTCTTAGAAAAGTTAACAATGTGAATTTATCGTGGATAGTTTGGGTTACAAGTATCGTGTACAGGTTTTTAGGATTTCGTGATTTTATCAATGTTTGAATGGTACCTATAAATCTATTAGACACCATGTTAAAGTATCTAAGAACGTTATGTTTTACGAAGTCCCTGAACCCATTTAAATTATTTAGTTACGGGTAGACTGTCAAAGTAGAAAATCAAGACCCAGCACAGTTTATACCGTAGATGAGTTCCATCTTGATGAACATCGTAACTATTTTTCGAATTGGTCTCTAACACTATTTTGTCACGATTAAAACAAGTATAAAATATGGTCCCGGGGGCTCGAAGATTAGACTGATTAGAGGCTGCATCGAAGAAATCCTTATTCGTCCTAAGAACAAAATTCTGAGTTGTGCAGTCGGGGAGCAAGAACGGTGTTCTGTGTGCCTTGGAACATGTGTGGCAGAAGCTATAAATTAGTATCAAAGCCGAGAAAATCATCTTTAACAAGGTGATATAAATACTTTAGTTGGAATAATTGTTTTATTCAGGAGAGCAAGAGTCTATACAATTTTTTTGCTGTAAATCAATTTATAACTTAAAGGTCTTTAGTAGAGATTCGACGACTTGTTTCGCAGAGTTTGCAACTCAAGATGCTACTATTGAATACAAAAAAAATCTAGCACGGTTAAAATTCTCCCCAATTATGTCCTTCATCAAGACGGACGATTATTATAGCTAGAACGGTAAGATATATGTATGGGTTATTTGGCAATATTCAATGGAAGTGTCGTAACAGGGTTGGCCAATTGGCCTACTTCGACATATAGATGAGAGCAGCACGTCAGTATAATTGAGCAAAAAAATTATATGTGCAAGAAGTGCAAAGCTTGAAACTTTTGGTCATGAAAAATTTTATTGGTGGAAAAAATATGCATATGCATTTAAAGAGAAAGCTTTTCCTACCACTCATGCCCAGGGCGCATAAACTTTTTGTTGTCCGTGGTTTCTCTTAAGGGGGTGATGCAGGGATGAGCATTTTTTCATAAAAATTAAAAAATTAAAAGTTCGGGAATTGTATGCAATTTTCACATGAATTTGGTTGTCAACCACATATTAGAAATGAAATAAATAAATCTTATCTTGGTCTTCATCTCTGAAGATGAGGAATAAAGTTCGACGATTGATAAGATCCGTCAAGTAGATAACCGGTGGGGGCCATATGGGTCGGGTGAAGCCCGTGGTGCAGAATATTATCATTTGTAAAATTCGGTTGACAACCAAATTCATGGGGAAATTGCATGCAATTCCCGAACTTTTAATTTTTTTATTTTTATGAAAAAATGCTCATCCCTGCATCACCCCCTTAAGAGAAACCACGGACAACAAAAAGTTTATGCGCCCTGACTCATGCCACACGAAAAGCAGCGGAAGTAAGTTTGGTATGTTCATGCTGCACGATAAAATAATTTACACTTAAATACAGGAATTAAATAGTTGCGTAAAATTCCAGGTATAATTGTTTGTAATTTTCGCAATGGAAGTTGTTTTCGGAACACCAACCTGTTTATCAGGTCAAATCGCCCAAAACGTTTGGTGGGGTTTTTTAATAAGACGCAATACTGAAAAGTTTACCACCCAATCATAACAAAATGAAATTGTCACTAGGTTTCAACAAAACCTTTGGAAATAGAAAAGAAATTGCTGTCATTTTGTTAACCATGTTCTTAATACAGATTTTTTGTGTCAAATGTTTTTTGTCCGTATTCTGGAATCAATATATTGGTTTGTCCTCATTATGCCCCAAACTAAAAAAATAAATGCTTGACAATTTTATAGAACGCATTGATTGAAGATCGGCACGATTGATTGTTTGGTTACTCAAAAGTAGAAAGGCTTGAGCAGTATTTAAGGATTTAAAACAAAATCATGAATTAAATCTGTTCGATTTTTAAAAGCTTCTTGACTAGTTTCCCCTCGAAATTGGTTCAAACGCAAGCCAACCAAAAGTGTTTTTGCAGTTTGTTTTAGTTTTGTCTTTGTTTGGTTTGTTTTGCATACTTAAAAAACTTACAAAAACTCATTAACCCTTTTCTCTCTGCATAACCCACTTTAACTAAAATTTTTAAAATGCAATAAGCCATAGAAACTACAAAATGCAAATGCTCAACACATACAGAGAACCATTATTTATGAATATATTACTTTTTCCTGTGTTCGAAAGAATATATTTTTTACATAAATTTATTTAAAGAACTATTTCCAACCATTTCCCAAGAGGTTAGTTGATTTTTTATCTTTCTAATTATAAATTTTAAGACATAAATTGGAAAGAATTTCCGTCCTTATTCACATAATAAGTAAATCTTCGTGAAAATAATTGCAAAACTATATTATTTGTAGAATTTAAATATATGTACACAACCACGTTTCTTTTTACATATTTATTTTTCCAAATTTTAACACGTGCTACTGAACTTATTTCCGATTTCGTATTTCTTTCGCTGCAAATTTTCGTGTAAGCGAGGTAACCAATAAATGTCCCGGACTAATAAAGGTCAATAGGATCATGAAGCAGAAGGTGTAACTTGCCTACATATTAAATATATATTTTTGAATTAAACATCATTTCTAAAAAATTTGGAAACTTATCAATAAAAATTATCTCACCCAAAGATAAGACTCTTCAGATTTGAATAACCATAAATATTGTGGGTACTGAAGAAGACCTACGATGGAAATTATGGTGTAGGAAATTCCCGTCAGTCGGTTGAAATGCTCTGGATAAAACCTTAAATGGAGTACAAAACGTTTACAGAAATTCAAAAATTAAGAAAAAAATTATGCACTCATTATTCACAAAGTTTTTGAATAATAAATGAATAAATGAAGATTATTCATTCATTATTCATAAACTTTTTGAATAATGAATGAATAATTTATTCAGTCTCTATTGACTATGTAAATCAGTGTAAGCAATAACATATACTTAAATGCAAATTTTTACAAATTATTTACCGCAATTGGACGTACGAGTACAAACTCGCGATCGAAATGGGCCTCACAATTGATATCAGAACGATCGAAACATACACGGCGTTTGGCGAGTAGGATATTTTGCAAATGTAAACCGCTAAGGTCAATGCACTCGCCAATGTAAGGACAAAAGCGGGTGCGCGAAATTTTGCAGCCAATCTTTCGATAGGGTCATTCTCTAAAAATAAATAGTCATGCACCCCAAAATAATTTTGAAGCAATGTTTTCCTCATTATAGAACTTTAACGTTTTGCAATATACTTTTGTCAGCTCGTTTCGTCATAAAATCCGTTATCAGTCCACCAATGGGATTTATGAAGGGCGAGATTATGAGACATATTCCAGAAAATGAGTTGTAAAAAGCAACTGAAAATATTGAATGTAAATTGTTGAACGTAGATAATTTTAGCCAATTTTTTTTAGACAGGTACAATAACGGCAAGAATTAAAAGGACATATTCAGTTACATACTCTGGTTTGGATCGTCCGTCGTCTTCCAGGCCCACGTGTTGAAGCTCGTCACGTAAAATCGCGTCATGTAGATGTTGACCAGCCAGACATTGTGGAAAACGAAGGACATCGTTTTGATGGACAGACCTAGTGGAATTTTGACATCAGGCTCCTTCCCAGAGGGACTCTGGTTACCTTTAGACTCTTCAGTGTCCGTGTTGATTTTATTTAAGGGGATGGAATTATTGTCAGCGTCGTTAACTTCATTATTTCCGAGGGACAATTTTGGCTGGTATTCAACCTTCATTTTCGGTAGGATGAAGGACGAAATTAATGTTATCCCGCAAACGGCAGACATTACGAATGAAGTGGAACGTAGCGATATCCCTGCAGCGTTGGCGTACTAAGAAATAATTGGGTCAAATTTATTTAGGAAATTAAAAAACTATTTTGTATTTGTTTCCATTTTTCATATAACAAATTTGTATTCGAATTACTTGAAACATGAGGAACACCAGGGTTGATGCTGCATGAGCAGATGTGTAGCAAAACATTATAGTGGAACGTTTTGCCGGCCAGGCATTTCCGCATTGAAGCGAGCTCAAACGCATTCCGTTAGATCCAAATGAAATTAACAACATGCCAGGCCACACCATCCAGGGATTCGCTGCCAATTTGAAATTTGTAATATAAATTCTTAAGCTAATCAGAAATAAAATGCATATCGTAATTTTAATTCTACTTTAAGATAAGTATTTTTCTTGGCCAACTTCATGACTTTGTTTTTGGAAATTTAAACATTTATGTGGGTATATTTATTAGATTTAATGCCTAATAAATTAAGTTGTTGGGTATTTTTATAAAATTGTATGCTCAATAAATTAATTTGTTGGGTATTTGCATGACCTTATATGCCGAATAAATTAATCTATTGGTCTATTCAAGTGGGATTTTAAAAATGAATAATTTTGGTCGGGGAAAATTACGGTTTCATTGGACAGTTAAATTAGTAGGTACAATAAATTAACCTGCAGTGGCTAATCCGACCCAAATAAATCCCCCAATCATCATAGCTCTGTCGTTTAAGATGAAAAAACAATTACCAAACACACTTATGTAAATTCTATTTCAAAATTATGCATAAAACTTCTTACCCGCTCGTAACTCGGGTAAACCGTAATCCTGCATAATCCAGTGAAAACCCGACTAAAGCACTTGGTATTCCATACATCGCAATCATCAACGAGTACAAAAGTCCAAACATGTTATCTTGCCGAGGACATCGCTTAATTGTCGCATGAAAATTTATCGTTACAATTTAATTAAATTATGTATTTAATTTGAGAAGTTATGACCTTACGATTATAATTGAAGAATTAGTATCACTCGTGTTTGCGAATTCGGTCCCATTAGTATTATATTCGCCCTGAGATTTGGCGTCTTCAAGGCAAAAATGGGAAAAAATCCCTTCCAGTTGAAACACATGGACGAGTGCGGGCCACCCAAAGATAATTCCGGTGACTGTAAGCGACTCAAAAAATCCGATCCCGATGAAAACTATTCTTTTCCAGAGGTGCATCTTACCAGATTCTTTAACAAATTTTTATGAATTTTGTTTAAATTCCAATTATAAAGCTTTACAAATTATTTAAGGTAGGACTCAATGGCTCTACACCAAAATTACGTAGTAATTTCTCGGCTGTGGGAATTCTATCTCAATTCTGGACGACGAATTTGTAATCAGTTAGCTGATTAATTGAATAACGGTGAGTTTTTAAGTCAGTTCCAATGTTTCTGAACGTTCTTTTAACGTGAGATTTCCTCGTTTACAAAGTTAAAAAGGATGGAGTATATTTTTTTTAAATTGGGAATGACCTGTTCTTCAAATTCGTCGTGCAGAATTTTAAAATAAATTAGCAGACTATGCAATGATTTACTGCTTTTCACGATTTTGCCGATAAATCATCGAGTCCTAAGTTAAAATTTTGTAAAATGAATAATCGCAGGTCTAGCCGGGAGACAAATTTGTGTCTTGTGTTGAGATCGAGATCACGTACACAATTCCAGGTGCACTCATAAATCATGACTTACGTACATATTTATGTACTGATAATCATGTCCCATTCATGTCTACGTATTGAATTGCACAATCGTACTTTGTATGTCACTATCGCTCCACAAATTAATCAGATTAAGTAAATATGGCAATGATAACATATGTAAGTTTGTGCTGCTTTTGTCTTTAAAAAATCACCAGGCATATGTACATATGTAGAGAACGGATTGAAACCCAGACTATTTGTCGACGGTGGTCATTATTCAGATAAGAATTCAGTACACATAAATAACATGGAAAATATAAGAATGATATTTTTCATAATTTATGAATGCCCTCCTTGATGTTTAAAATTTGTTACATGCTCGACAACATTTTGCGTATCATTAGAAAACGAAACATGCCGATGATCGGGAAAAACGGGTAAATTAGCAAATTCATTTCCTATCCAAGCCCACCAACTTGCCAATTATTTCCAGGTTAATTTTGCAACATTGATTAAAAAGGTTACTTTTCGAAGAATTGTGTGTGGCACACATCTCACAAGTTTACTGCTCCTACCTCACCATTCGCGAATAATAAAATAAAAAGATACAAGATTTTCCAGTAAAATGAAATGGGGTAGCTGGAAAAAGAAGAATAGAATTCATGCAGGTGCTTCGCTAGGGACCTTGCGTAAGGGATGTCATCAATTTGTTGGGTTGCTCATGAGATCTTTCTTATTATTCAGTTACTTATAAAATTGGTCCAACGTACATATTTACGGGTGATGGCATTAATTCGAAAATCAAGCCCATCCTTTACGCATGACCCATTCCTTTGTAAGCTAACCCCTACAATTGAGACGAGTAAAGATTTGGAAGCAATACAACTGACGAAAAATCCATTTTGTTCTATGCTTAAATAGATTTTTATGTCTACTGTTTTACAAGGGGAACCGTAATTGTTTTCGGCTTCTGAATAATTCCCAAAAATACTTACATAGGTTTAAACCATTAATTAACCCAGCATGCCGACATGGGCGTTAGAGGCATCATTTTATTACTAAATATAACATTTGTTCCTAGTAAGTACAGCAATAAATACATATGTCCTCTTTGCCATTCATGTAGAAACCCACCCTTGAAAATGGTGCAACCGTTTTGAGAAGTAAATTTATTCTCAATATTGAATTAAGTAAACGCAGAGTAAACTCTTTATCAGGTCAACATTACTCTACAAAGATTTAGTACATACATATGTATGTATGTATTTATAATTTACTTACATAATTTCGAATTCAGAGTGAATTTGTTTTTCGAAAGGGTTACATTATTTTTAAGAGTGTGGTGTGCAATTAGTTTTTTCAGTATCCATACATAAATGTATATATGTAAGAATGTGTATAAACTCACGGGTGTCTCGATGAATAAATGTTTTGCCTTACATTGTCTCGAGTATAATTAGTTTTGTGCATTTTATGGGAACTTTATGATTTTATGACTTTTTTTTATTTTGTGCTCAATTCTTTCCCAATTCTTTCATCATGAACAAAGTTATGTTCATCCTGGCTTCGATGCTCCTCAGTCCAACCCTATCCGACGGATCGGATGGAGGGACGAAGAAGCCAAAGTATTCCAATTCTAAATTAATTTATAACATAAATAAATAGCCAATCGTTAAGCAAACATTAGACCCAGGCCAAACCGAATTTTGAAAAAATAAATACTTTGAGATTTAATTCCCTTCTTCACTTTTCTCATGGGATTTTTTCGTTAAATTATTCGCTTTTTCGTGACCCAAGTGCATTCTAGTCTGTGACGATGTGCGACTCAAAGGTATAAATTTATGTAAAAAACTAATGTGTTTGGTACAAATATTTATTTACCAATATTTTTAAGCAAAATGCAGTTATGTATGCAAATTTAACAAGTTAATCGAGAATGTGAAGTTGGTTTAAATGAAGTAATTCCAATTATTTTGTTTATTTTTTGTTGTGCAAACTTTTACAGACCGAGATCATCTGGAAATATGCATTCCGACAAAGAGTACAAAATACTTATGTATGTACAACTATGCATGTAAGTGCTTACTAATTTTTACTATATTGTTCACATATTTTGTACAGACTCGAATTTTTAAATAATACCATGAAAACATGTGTATATATTTTTACTGAATAAGTGAAGGCTTAAAATGCATATGTCTCTACAAAAGTTTTCATAGATCAAAACATGCCAAATATGTTTAGCAAAAAAACTTGAAAGTTATATATTTGTCTAAAATCTAAAATCCTGCATAGTTTGGTAATTTACTCGAATTTGCTATCATTTCTTACATAGGAATTGTTAAAACAATTACCCAATATAAATATATTGGGTAAAATTGAAACCTGAATTGTTAATGTTTTTAGGTTAAACTTTACAAATATGTCAATTACATTTATTTTACATTTTCAGCAGCCAAGATTTTCCTGATCGAGAGCGCAACATCATTTTTTCAGCGTCTCCATCACCAAAATTGGTACGTTCATGAATTCCGAGCACATCAATCGACCTGGAACGATATGAGATTCAAACCGGAAGACTTCACACGCAATTAAAGATAATAATTAAATTTTACAATAATTTTAAAATGGACAGAATTTACATAAATAGAGAATTCCTCCCATCTGATTATCTACGAATAGTTAGAGATCGTATTTACAATACTTACTTACACTCTAAGAAACCTGGTGATAACTATCACCGCGCGGTGGTCATATGTGACTCTACCGGAATGGTGACAGCTGCAACCACCGAACGGTGACAACTGCACCACCGCACGGTGATTGATCATCACTAAGCTGGTGATGGGCATCCACCCTCCGGTGGTCTTCTGCCACCTGCCGGTAGAGTCACATATGACCACCGCGCTGGTGATAAAATTTCTTAGAGTGTAAGTACATAAAATGGTTAAGTTGCATACATTTCAAGCCCTCGTTTCTATGCATCAAAAGCTGGATACAAAATTTTTCACGCATCCGGCTCCTGATGTGGCAAGAATATCTGAACGTGAAACATATATATTTTATTGCACATTAACACTTATTAGATGTTGGCGTGAAAAAGTGTAATTTTACACGCCTTTTACTCCGAAATTTTGAAAAAAACTAAACTGACGCTAATCCAATTGAACAGATTCATAAAACTTTAGGGGAACATGCTACATATTATGAAAACACGGGACTTTGTTGTAAAATGTATGTTTCTATTTTTAAAATTCTTACAAAATTCTCCTTTCCACGATAGTTTACTCGCGTTGTTCTCTTAGCCTGATTTTAGCGATTCAGCACTGGTTAAACCTAGGTTCGTAATGTGATTGGAATCCCCGCATTGTACATTGCGTGATATCCAAGAAAAGTCTGAAACCCGACGTTCCCTTTTGTAACCCGGGTAATCTATGTATGGCCCTTCACAAACTCGGCGTCCAGTTTAGATTTAAGTCGAGCAGGAAACTTATTAATTTTAATTCCGTGGGCTGTTTACCACCCACCTGTTGTCATACATAATGAGCAGTATTTATTTCCTGGTCACCAGGTCAGATTTTTATATAAAAATCAATTTTGCCGTATTCAAAAATTGTATTTTTGCCACTAAAAACCTCAATTGCGACAAATTGACAAGCGAGCTATGTGTGAAGCACGTGTTATTCAGGAGTAAATAAAAGAAGGGCAGATACATTCGTAATTCGACAAAAAATATTAAAAAGAAGTCCAAAATTGTGGTAGATAAGATAGTAGGACTGCCAATGAGTTGAGTTGAGCTGAGTTGAGGGTTAACTCAACTCAACTCAATAAGAAAAATCACCGACTCAAACTCAACTCGACTCAAATTAGTCTCAACTCAAACTCGACTCAACTCAAATGTTAACGACTCAAACTCAACTCATATCATATGAGTCGACTCACCTTTTTTAGAGTAAAATATTTATTTAACTAAATACGTTCAAACGGGGTTAAAATCTCGTTGAACGTACGATTTTTAAATAAAATTTCCGTTGAGAGCGATATTGGTGGTCACCAATTACAAATTTGATGATTTCCTATAGAAGACTAAAATTTACAAAATTGTTGTGTTCATTTCGATAAGCTAATCAATAAATCGGTATATGATGACGACGGGTATGGAGAGGACAGCTTAGTATGTGTATTTAACAGTTTAATTTTTCATTCAAAATTTTTTGACAATTACACATTTTCCCATTTTTTATTTCAACCGGCCCAGCAAATCCAATCTTGAAATATTTGGAGAGAAAGTGATTCACGAGATTGCAAGTGTGAAGAATCGAAAAATGTGAATAATTTTATCACAAATCGCTGACTAGAGATTTAGTAGCTTGCTTTCATCAAGGTGAAAACCTCGAAATGGACAAACTGGCAGTAAAAAAAATCCTTAATGAGTTGACTCATGAGTCAACTCGAACTAATTTTCCGTAACTCAACTCAAACTCATTATTTTTCAACTCACTCATTTCAAAGTGAGTCGAGTTATACTCTCGACTCAAACTCAACTCAACTCACTAACTCAATGAGTCATATGAGTTGACTCGAACTCATTGGCAGTCCTATAAGATAGCTTGGTTGAAAATAGTTTGATCGATAGTAAAATGGAAAACTAGAGTGTAAATGAAGGAAAGAATATTGAGGAAGGAAAGTATTATGATTCCCTGAAATGGATATCGTATCAGTACATACATACATACACATGTTAAGTGCTAATTCAACGGTATTGAATAGCATTTACCAGAAACCAGCAAGTTTAAGATACAATTCAAGCTTTTTGGTTACATACATGCTTAAATATAAACCTTCCTCTTGCAGAATTTAATTAAATAGTGAACCCTTTTTCAAGCATTCCTCCACCCTGAATTAAACAGTGGTCGAGACTACTGAGAAATATTTTGATCCATCGCCATCAATATTTGTACAGTTTAGATAACTACAAGTTGAAACAGAGTCTGACTTCAAAAATATAAGTATGTAGCTGTGGACTCGTGTAGGGTTCAAAATCAGATGATTTCTGGGTTTGAAACCGGATATAAAACTACATAGTTTTAAATGATACTGGTTTCAGCGATTTTCCGGAGAAGCAACAGTTTTGGGTTATCTTGTTATAAATAAGTTTGTATCTTCGGGTCTTACAAATTTGCAAAAAAATCGGATTGTCCGTCAGAAATGGGAAAACACGATTTTAGACGCCATACCATAGCAGCACGTGTAATCGGACATGTACATATGTAACTGCCGAGAAAAATTCTTGATTATCAGGAAAAACTCGCCAATTAACGAACTCATTAGAAAATGCAAACTGAATGTCGCGAAAAGGATTCAATGACCTGGAAAGTTCTGGTCAAGATTTCTGCTCTAATTTTGGTGAATTCGATTTTACTCCGAACGTAATCAAGTTAAAGCTAAAATGTTAGGTAAAATTAAAATTCAGGAATCCACCAAAGTAGTCTTTTCCGTAGGACAGCTTTCAAATTGACCTGCCAGCAGAGAGTGCATTATAGCCCCAGGGATAAAACCAGAATAACTCGTTACCGCACTTTTGACTTCCGGGAGGGAAAATAACTTATCGCGCTCTTACTGAGTTGTCAGTAAATCAAGATGAGAGGAATCTAATTTACATATATAGGTCTACAAGTCAGAGTTAATTAAAAAAAAAGTTAATTCAGTAATTCAAATATTTCCGTAACGAGGCTTCATAAAATTGTCATTATTTACCTACCTTTGTATTTATGACAAATGAATTACACCCTTTCAAACTAATTCGACTATTTAAAATTACGAAGCTGATTTACGAATCAGATTTGGTATTTTACATATATTCGTTTTTCTAAAATTCAAATCTTCTTCTAAAACCGGATGCACATGTAATCCTATAAAGTATTTACTAGAATAAGTCAAATCTTAGAGTTACTGTGGCACGATGTATCTGAACCATTAGTTAAGATTTAGGAGTAGAAGGTCACTACTTGTCGGGCCCCGATTTCGATCTCCTTTGGATATGTTGTAGTACTACATGAGTGTAGAAAAAGTGAAGGAGGGTTAGACTCCACGAGCCCATTTACGCCCGCCACACCCCCTCAAAGGCGCCCAAACCCCCAGAGTTGCCGAACTAAAATCATCGCCAAAAATCGAGTTTTGGTCAGATTTTCAAGAAATTTGCATTTTTGTGATCCCAGATAGTTGCTCTATCATATCCAATAGCAAACTCAACTTTTTTGAAATTTTCAATATTTTCGAAGATTTTCTGACCAAGGGTATGTATTGAAAAAATTCGAAATTTCAAAAAAATTGAGTTTGCTATTGGATATGATAGAGCAACTATCTGGGATCACAAAAATGCAAATTTCTTGAAAATCTGACCAAAACTCGATTTTTGGCGATGATTTTAGTTCGGCAACTCTGGGGGTTTGGGCGCCTTTGAGGGGGTGTGGCGGGCGTAAATGGGCTCATGGAGTCTAACCCTCCTTCACTTTTTCTACACTCATGTAGTACTACAACATATCCAAAGGAGATCGAAATCGGGGCCCGACAAGTAGTGACCTTCTACTCCTTAGTTCAGCTAGGTAGATATTAAAAATGCTAATTCAACGGTAATGAATAGCGTTTCCCGTAAAACTTTAAAAATTCATTCCTGATTTTTTTTTCATTTGAATATTAACAAACTATTTTTTTTCAAGACTAAAATCCGTCTGGCACAATGTTCTTAATTGATGAACCATCTCAAGCATTTGGAGCACTTTAGTGGGAAACCATGAAATTGGGGAAAGTGGCTGACTTCAAAAATATGTAACAAAGCAGAATACTCGGAAAAATTTCAAACCCGGCTTCGAACGTGAAGCGCAGATAAAAAGACGTAGCTGAAATTCACACTCGGAAGATTTTAAAAACCCGTTTAAGATTATTCCGGTTTTTAGCAATTTAAAAAACTAGCTTTTCGACAAAGTGGGAAAACATTCTAGCACATCAAAAATAGTTCAAATCGGCATAATTTTTGGACTAGTCTAACCGCTGATATTCACGCAAATTTATGTAAATTTTGCCTACACGAGAAATTTTATCTAGGATGAACACGCAATTAAATACCTAATTTCGTTTTCGAAATTGGCAAATTTACGAGAACAGCCCCATACATTCTCTTTTGCTTTCTGGTGCTTAGCTCTTGTCAAATTATTTATTCGATACATATATGAAAAACTCGCTTCGTCGAAAACCGTAAATTCCATAGTTATAGATGGAAAACTATGGAGTAAAGTAGTTCAGAAACGTTGCTGCTAATCCTTGAAATAATATGGTTCGGGAAAAATATGACTAATTACGGTGGTCATTAATTGCATAATATTTATAAGGTTATCTTTGAAAATTTACTTACCAACGACGTCATTTTGACTTTACCAAAGCGATATTTGGTCCAGAAAAGTTTGAGGATGTCCAGGTAGGCGACCTTAGATTCCAAACGGAGATGAAGGCACAGGCGGTGACCAAGCTAGCATAATTTCAAATCATCAAATGCAAAGAGAATTTCCTTTCCCAGGCTATTTAGTGTAATAGTTACATAAATGAGTTACCCAAAGTTTGCCCCTCATCCTCAGTATGTAGATACTGAGAGCGAGGTAGATTAGAGAACCT